AGGCTTTCCCTGCAGCAGAGGATGTGGGGAGGGGGGTCTTGCAATGGTAATTAAATGTCCTGGCCCAGAAGTGACACATGTCACTTCCACTCACAGCCCACTTGCCAAAATCCCATGGCTCCATCTATCTGCAAAAGCTCTTTGCTCTCCCCTTCTGCTGGGAGTAAAGAATCAGCATGGGTAGGCACTGGACAGCTCTGCCATAAGAATTGTTTGGCAAACTTAGGGAAAATATAGAGGCCACGCCAGAAAGTCTGATTCAGTTGCCCTGAAATGGGGCCTGGGGACCTAAATTTTGGCAAATGTCCCAAATAACTGATCCAGTTGATACACAGGTGGGCATTGGGAAGTACTGCTTTAGAAAACCTAATGCCCTCTCGGAGTGACTATTGGCTATCTCTGTGATAGGACTGACACTCGTCAGGAATGTGCACAACAAGTCAATATATGTAATTCAGTGCTAAAATATGCAGCATATGTAGTAAGTGCTGTGGGAAGTCAACAAACATGTCCCCTCCTTCTGATATGCTTGCCTCTTATTTGGGTGGCTCTGCCAGACAACTCATTATGATAAGGAACTCTTGCTTAGCGTGCATTTGCGTGTGTGTGTGTGCGCGCGCGCATGCTGGGAGCTCAGAGTACAGCAGTGCGGAGAGTCAGATGTCCATGTTTCCCTGCAGACCCCGTTGGAATGACAGGGCCCTCCCTATGAATAACCTCATTCTAGCTTTTTACCCATCAGGCTGAGTCTAGAGAGGACACCAGTGATTCTGAATCTAATCCTTCCTCTGTCATTACCTTACTGGGTGGCCTGGCGTCAGCTATAAAGCCAGGTAACTCTGCCTACTCTGGGGCTAATTAGTCAGCCTGGGGATGACTCAGTTCTTCCTCTGCTTCTTCCTCCTTCTTCTCCTGAACAGCCTGTTCAATTAGGACTTGTATTCAGCTGCTAGTTAACAGAAGCCTGAAAACACTGGCTCAAATGTATTGTTTGGCTTATGCAAAAGAAAGTCAGAAGTTGGCAATCTTCAGGGACCCAGATTCCTTTGGCTTTCCACTTGACCATCCATTCGTAGGGTATGACCCTCTTCCCCCTTCTCTCAAGATGGCTGCTGAAGCTCATCATCATATCTTCATTTCAGGCATGAATAAGGGGAAGAGTGAAAAACTACAAGGGTCTCTGCCAGCTGAGTCCAGAGAAGTACCACCGAATGACACATGCGTACATCTCACTGGCTAGAAGTGTGTTGCATGACCATCCAAGCCTCAAGTGAGGCTAGGAAACAAGAGCTTCCATCCCAAAGCCCCAGTGTCAGGCATCCAGACTTTTTATCCCATTCCCTTGCACAGGGAAATGGAGGCTTCTGCCTCACGGAGCAGAAGAGGGCCAACTCTCGCTCCCGGCCAGACACCCACAGGCTCAGTGGACACGCAGAGGCAGAGGGCTGAGTGTGCACAAACCTGACTTGCCCAAGTCCTCAGTCCTCAGTCCTGATGTCTGAGAGTGGACTCGTCAAGCTGGAGGCTGAGCAGTGATTCTCTTCCCTCCAACTCAAGCTGCAGGCACTATGCTCCCTCTCAGGGCAACAATGCCCCCGTGGAGGAGAACTTACCCGAACAACACACTTTTGGGGCGGTAGCTATGTTTTCAGAGGGAGAAGGCACACAGAGAAATTTGGCCCCTCAGTTGTCCCTCTTTTCTAAATAAAATGTGAGCTTGTTTTTATTATGAAAGTAAATAAAAGATACACTCCCATGTATGAAAGAGGGTGAGTAAACTTCTCGTTTTTTCTGGCTCCTGCCCATGGCCTCAGTCCCATGGCCCAGAAGTTACACCTTTATGGTTTCCGTGGCCAGTTTCCAAATGTTTTCTTTGCTTATACGTATATATGCGTATTGTTTAAAAAACACAGAAATGGATCACACTTTACATGTGTGACCTGCAATTTGCTTTTTCCATGTAGTTTCTTGGTGATGGTGCCATATTGCCACCTATAGAACCCCCCTCATTCTGTAGTGTGGCTATGGGGTAGGAAGGTGCCAGAATTTATTTACCCAGTCACCAGGTGAGAACATTTTGGTCTCTCTAGGCTTTTGCTGCCAAAAATCATTGTTGTAATACTCCAACCCTTTTGTCAGGATTCCTGTCTTGTGAGTCCCATTATCCGGGTGCTGAATCTGGCAGGTCGGGGAGAAAGAGCTTTGCTGCCTCTGGGAGGACTAGCCCTGTGGTCCTGGCTCCTCTGAGGGGAGCCTCAGCCCATGGTTTTCCCCTTTTTCCTAGGAACCTCCTACCTACTGACTCCACTCCAAGGGCAGGGCAGGGTTGACACATGTGGGTGGCTGGGCAGGCTAGTAATCTGGTGCTCTGGGAAAATAAATAATATTGGGGCCCCTTCAACTGATATTTGGAAAAATACTTGTTCAGCTCTTATTTGGAGGAAAGGCTGAGTGCTGAGAAGAAGGTGGCCTGGTGGTGGCAGTCCTCACTGTCCTCTTGGTCACAAGGAGAAGGAACCCACTCTATAGCTCCCTGGAGCAATCCTTCTTGGAAGGGATTTGAGTGACTACTTGCACACATTCCCTGGGGTCTCCTCCTTCCACCTCCCAAACCCCATCTGAAGCAGATGATTCTTTCCAACCATATATAATACTCACCCCCAGAGAAGTTCTGAAAGTTGCCATTTTCTCCACTCCCAATGTCATTTCCAGTTAATTTTATCCCCCCAGCAATGCCATCCAGCTCCCTGGTGATGTTGCAATGCCCTTTAGAGCTGAGATCTAGCGGCTCCACCCCTTAATTTGGCTCAGCTGAGGACCCCTGGAAGTTCCCCTGCCTCCAAGGCCAAGGCCAGTGTCTTTAAAAGGGGCTTTATTGCTACAGGTTTGACCATGGCCTGTGACCATATTAGGTGGTCTGGAGTAGGCTAGATGCCCCAGCTGGTTAGAACCAGGAAGTAATGACGTTGTGAAGAAATCACTTTTCAATTTGATTTTAAAACCATGCTCTGTTCTGTTTAAATGCTTTTCTTTTAAATTTTGTCATTCTCTAAGCTTCTGTTTATAAATTACAAAAAGGGAAGGGGGCTGCAAACCCTGTTTGTCAGCAGGTCCCTGGGAGCAAGAGAACAGTCTTTGGAAGGCAGGTCCAGTAAACCAAATCTCATAAGGTCACAGGTTGGATTTCAGAGATGATCACTGGATATTTTCTGGTGTCCACAAGACATCATCAGATATGATGCCTTATGTATTTTGGTTACAAAGGGGACCTGACAGATGAGCATGAGGAGCTCATGCCCTAACTATTGTCGCTATGACAGAACAAACCAGTGTATGTTCTGCCAGTAGTGATAGTATTATATCACCTAGGTGTAGAGAAGGCCACACCCAAAGACCCCAAAGTATCGCATTAGCTGGCTGCCTGTGCAGAGCGAAGAGAGCAACTATGTACCAAGTATACCTCCAACCCCACGTCCACAGGAGACATCGCAAGTGGTTCCTTCTTCCCCCTGACTGAATGCAAACTTGACTTTATTTTTGTCTCAGCAGTAACTACCAACCAGCCCGATCTGGTGCACAAGTTAAAACCTATTTGCCATCCCGGGCCTAGAGAATATTCAAAGTCGAGTATGGCAACATACACTTTTCTGCAAATACAGTCTGCAAAATTATCCCAGCTTTAACTTGCCAATCTGGGGGCAAATCCAAGGGTTTTCTTTTTCTTTATTCCAAAGCCACTAAGCACCAACACTTCCAGGCAATTACTCAGCACTACAATAAAAAATATATTTGAAGCATTTTTGTCTTCAATTAGCTCACAAACCAGAGATGTACATATCTTACCGTGACACGTCTTGCAAGTGTGTTATTCGTGCTTGAACTGTGTGTGTGCAGAAGGGGAAAGGAGAAAGAGTTTGAACTGACGTGGAAGGGTGCTTGGCAGGTAGAGAATGAGGAATAACACCCAGATGCAGGAAAAGAATGTGTGCAAGTGTTGGAATGCTGGAAGGACATGGTGCGTTCTGGGAAGACTGAGCATGAGCTCTGGTGGAAGGGTGAGGCCGTGGGAGGTAGGCAAAGAGGAAATGAGGAAATTAGCCTGGAGAGATGCACCAAAGCTGGGCTAGATGCACCAAAGAAGATCACTCCTGCTTTGACTTGAGCCACTGGATCCCTGTCCCCTGCTTGACCCAGTCACCCTCCACTCCATCTGCCTGCACTTCTGTCTTCTGCTCCATGGTGGGCTGCATGCCTGGCCACCTGACACGCTCCTCTCTGGCTCCATCATCCTGAAGAGTCTGCAGGGTGGGCAAAGTTGCCATTCATACTAGAGACTGCTGGGGAGCCTTGTAGTAGGAACTGCTTAGGAGCATGTATCTGAGTCACTGGTATACAAATGTTGCATAATCTCATTGAGGAAATGAGGATGAAGCCCTGAATATATCTTGTCTTTGGCTTTTTGATCTATAGTGCTTTCCCCAAACTTAATGAAGCAAACATAAATCCATTAGTCAATACAGAGGCTCTCAGCCTGGGGTGACTCCATCAACTCCACTGGCGCTTAATCATGTACTGATGAATGTCATTACTTAATTTTCCCATTAAGTCATAAATTCTTTCGTATCCCTGTATAGCACATAGCAAAGTGCTGGGAACATGGTGAACACATACTAACTGTTTATTAAATGAAAAAGTGAAGGGGAACGTGTTGAAATGAAAAGGGGGAAATGGACAGTAAGACTTTATAGAGTATTCTGTTTGGTTGTAGTTTGGTTGTGGATACAATTTGTGTTTCTTGTCTTGTCACTCAACTCTCTTAGCCTTAGTTTCCTTATCAGTAAATTGAAGATAATCTTACCAGCTCTACAGAGGTTACAGGGTTTTGTCCAACACCAAATAAGAAATCATACATGCAAATACTTTATGAACTGTTAAGGTAAGCTATTAGGATTTTCTCTTAATGTCATATAATTATAAAATATTTTCCTTCTTACTTTTAGACTTGCAACCTTATTTCTCAAAAGAGGGCCCAACAGGATAGGTGGTCTTTACAAAAAGGCTGTTTACAGACATTACACAGATGGGACCTATTCCACAGAGATCCCCAAACCTCCCTGGCTTGGATTCCTGGGCCCTATTTTGAGGGCTGAAGTGGGGGATGTGATTGTCATCCATTTGAAGAACTTTGCTTCCCGACCATACTCTTTGCATCCACATGGCGTTTTCTACAACAAAGATTCAGAAGGTAAATATCAATCCTGTATTACTGGTGTCTTGTCTCTATTTTGTAAGTAAGGCAATTGTCAGCTACAGTTAAAGGGATCAAAGAGACAGTGATTACACATGTTCATTTGTCTTTTTCCCCATCTCCTTTTCTCCCTATCTCCATCTGTTCCTCCTAATAGAGAAAACTTCAACAACACTATCAACCAATTTGCCCTAATTGACTTCTAGAGAACATTCTGTCCAAAGAATACACCTTCTTTTCGAGAGCATATGGAACACTCGTCAGGATAGATAGTAGGCTGTGCATAAATCTAAATAAATTTAAAAGAACGGATAGGATGCAAAGCATATTCTCCAATCACACTGGAATTCAATTTGATATAATCAATGAAAGAAATCTTGCAAATTCTTGCAAACATTTGGAAATAAACAGTACACTTCTAAATAACTCATAGGTCAAAGAAGAAATCACAGGATAAATTGTAAAATATTTTGAATTGAATAAAAATGGAGGTAAAACATATCAAACTTTATGGTATATTGCTAAAGAAGTACTTAAAAGGAAATTTAGAGCTTTAGACACGCCAAGAGAGAAGAAAAGTCTCAAACCAATAACATAAGCTTCCACCTTAAGAAACTAGAAAACAGGGCGCCTGGGTGGCTCAGCTGGTTAAGCGACTGCTTTCGGCTCAGGTCATGATCCTGGAGTCCCGGGATCGAGTCCCGCATCGGGCTCCCTGCTCAGCAGGGAGTCTGCTTCTCCCTCTCCCGCTCCCCCCTCTTGTGCTCTCTCTTTCTCTCTCTCACTCTCTCTCTAAAATAAATAAATAAATAATTAAAAAAAAAAAAGAAACTAGAAAACAGGGGCGGCTGTGTAGCTCAGTTGGTTAAGCGGGCTGCCTTCGGCTCAGGTCATGATCCCAGGGTCCTGGTATTAAGCCCCACATCGGGCTCCCTGCTCAGCGGGGAGCCTGCTTCTCCCTCTCCCTCTGCCCGCTGCTCTGCCTGTTTGTGCTCTCTCTGTGTCTCTGTCAAATAAATAAATAAAATCTTTAAAAAAAAAAGAAATTAGAAAACAAAGAGGAAAAAAAGCTAAAGCAAGCAGAAAGAAGGAAATAATAAGGACTAGAGCAGAAATTCGAAGAAGGAGAAAACAGAAAAATAATATAAAATTGATTAAGCCAGAAGTTGGGTCTTTGAAAAAGATTAATAAAATTGAGAAAACTTTATCTAGTCTGATGAAGAGAGAGGGCACAAATTACCAAAGTCAGGAATGAAAGATGGGACATCACTCTGACCATACAAAAATTAAAAGGATAATAAGGGAGGATTATAAACAATTTTATGCCAAAATATTAGATAACTTAAATGAAACTGACAAATTCCTAGAAAGACAAAAGTTACCCAAACTGACTTAAGAATAAATAAAAATTTGAACAGACCTATAAAATGTAAAGAAATGGAATTAGCAATTAAAAATCTTCCCTCAAAGAAAAACCCAAGCTCAGACGGTTTCATTTATAAACTCTATCAACTACTAAAATAATAATAATAATAATGCCAATCCTTTACAAAATCTTTCAGGAAATAAAGAGAGGAATACTTCTAAATTCATCCTATGAGGCAAATATCATGATCCAGTTAAAGACATCACAAGAGAACTACAGACCAATATTCCTCATGAATGTAGACACAAAAATTCTTAACAAAATATTAACAAACTGGCTTCAGCAGCATATAAGGAGAACTATATATCATGACCAAATGCAGTTTATCCTATGATTGGAAGGTTTGTTTAACACTCAAAAATAAATGAATGTCGGGGTGCCTGGGTGGCTCAGTCAGTTAAGCGTCCGACTCCTGATTTTGGCTCAGGTCATGATCTCAGGGTTGTGAGATTGAGCCCTGGGTCAGGCTCTGTGCTGAGGGTGGAGCCTACTTAAGATTCTCTCACCCTCTCCCTTTGCCCCTCTCCCCTCCTCCACTCATGCGCTCACACTCTCTCTCTCTCTAAAAAAAAAATAATAAAAAAAAATGAATGTACAACATATTAATAGAATAAGGGACAGAAACCACATGATCATCTCAAAAAGTGCAGAAAGGCATTTAACAAAATCTAGTACTTATCAAATTAAACATTTCCAACAAACTAGGAATAGACAGGCACTCCTCATCCCGATAGTTTATCTAAGAAAAACCCACAGCTGACATCATGCTTAATGGGAGGGGGACTGAATGCTTTCTTCATAAGATTGGGAATAAGGCAAGAATGTCTGCTCTCACTGCTATTATTAAATATTATCCTGAAGATTCTAGCCAATGCTAGACAGGTCTGCTAACAATAAACTTGGTCTTTGTTTATCTAGGACATCTTTACTTTACCTTGCTTTTTTGAGGGATAGTTTGCTGGATATGGTATTCTCCTTTTGCACTCCCCCCCTACCCCCTGCAATACTTTAAGTATGTCATCCTATTGTCTTCTCATCTCCAATATTCAGATGGGAAGTCAACTGTTAATCATGTCAATGTTCCTGTGTATGTGATGAGTCATTTTTCTCCTGCTTCCAATATTACCTCTTTGCCCTTTTTTCCCTAACAATTTGACGACAATGTGTCTATGTATAGATTCTTTGTATTTATCCTACTTGTGGTTCATTATGCTTCTTTGATGTGTAGATTAATGTTTTTCATCAAATTTGGAAAACTTCTACAAAAAATTTCTACAAACATTTTTTTTCCTGTCCCTTTTTCTTTTTTTTATCCTTTGGCAGGCTACTATTACACATGTTAATACACTTGATGTTGACCCACAGGCCTCTGAGGTTCTGTTTATTTTCTTTGATCTTTCTCCCCCCTTCCTTTTTCAGATAGGATAGTTCTATTGATCTATATTCAAGTTCACTGATTATTTGCCATCTTGAATCTGTTGTCAAGACCTCCTAGTGAATGTTTTATATCATTTATATCACTTATTTATTTATTTCACTTTTCAATGCCAAAACTCCAACTTTGTTCTTTTTATAATTATAAAATTCTACCTCCTTGTTAAGATTTTTCCATTTACTGAATCATTTTGTCCTACTTTTTTCAATTATTTAAACATGGTTTCTTTTAATTGCTTGAACATTTTTATAATAACTGCTTTAAAGTTTTATCCGCTAAATTTCACATCTAGAGACACTTAGAGATAATTTCTATTGGCTGCTTTTTTTCTCTGAGAATAGGTCACACTTTCTTGTTTCTCTGTATGTCTCATTTTGTTGTTGTCCTTGTTGAAAACTGGAAATTTTTTAGCATATATTGAAGCAACTCTGGATTCAAATCTTTCCCTCATCCAAGGTTATTTTTGCTGTTGGTTTGCTTTTTTGTTTAGTAACTTGCCTGGGCTAAATCCATGAAATCTGTCTTCCCTAGAGTATGAGGCCACCAAGGTTTCTGCTCTTTTTTTTTTTTATGTTTATTTTTAAGGCTGGCTTCTAAGGGGTCACCTCTAAATCTGCTTCGCTTTGAAGTCAGCAGATGCTTGGACAGAGGTTGTGCTTAAGCATCAGTAAGTCCTCAATTCTCTGCAGTTGGAATTGTGGGTGGATAGAGAGCCCATTCAAAGTTTAGGTGGTTTTTGTCTGCCTTGGACTTTCATTTTTGCTGGGCCCTTTGCTTCTCCTCTTTGCAAGCACACAGCATTTGAGTCAGCCAGGAGTAGGCAAATAACTGATGTTCAGCAATTTTTCAAGCATAAACTTTGCTGGATGCCTTTATTTGATTTCCAGAGCAATGAAATTGTTGGTTTTCTCAATTTCATTCATTTTTACATTACTTTCGGGGGAGAGGATTTGCTGACCTCCTCACTCTCTTTTGATGAATTTTTCTCTTCGCTACCTTTGCAAGCTTGCTAGTCTGAAAGTCCCTGCTCAGTTCAACTTAGTGTTTACTGTGCACTAGACCCAATGCTGGATACTGGGGCTGCAAAAATGAGTAAATGCATAGTTGTTGCTTCCAAGGTGTTCATCTGGGGAGTGGTAGAGAATGAACACAGAAGAAGTCGGTAGGTGGGATTAACATTGATTAAGCAGTTCCTAATGTGCCAATGCCTGTGTGAGAGCTCTTACATACCATATCTCACTTAATAATGGAATTAGCTAGCGCTTTCTTGATCTCCATATGAAATATAGTTAAGTATTAGGACTTTTTAAAAATAAATTTTACTGTTTTTTTTTTTAATTCAGAGAAGCATAAAGAAGGGGTAAATGTCTCACATTCTGATTCCCTACTTATCCACTAAAATGAGCTCAAAACCAAAGATTAAACAAAAACTAGTATATGAACTTGGTTAGAAAATTTTAGGGGCGCCTGGGTGGCTCAGTCAGTTAAGTATCTGCCTTTGGTTCCAGTCATGATCCCAGGGTCCTGGGACTGAGGCCTGTATCAGGCTCCCTGCTCAGCGGGGAGCTTTCTTCTCCCTCTCCCTCTCTCTGCCGCTCCCCTGTTTGTGTTATCTCTCTCTGTCTGTCAAATAAATAAAATCTTTTTTAAAAAAAAAAGAAAATTTGGGGCACCCGGTGGCTCAGTCAGTTAATCAGCTGCCTTTAGCTCAGGTCATGATCCCAGAGTCCTGGGATCGAGTCCCGCATCAGGCTCCCTGCTCATCGGGGAGCCTGCTTCTCCCTCTGCCTGCTGCTCCCCCTGCTTGTACTCTCTCTCTCTCTGTCAAATAAATAAATAAAATCTTTTTTTTAAAAAAAGAAAATTTTAAGAGTACAGAGAGGTATAATAAGAGAAGTAAAAATTCTTCTTACCTCTTACCTGAAAAGCAATCACCTTTAAAAATGATGTACTATATGGTGACAAACATAACATAATAAAATAAAGATATCTTATAAATTTCTCTTAGAAAATTTTCCATACATATATTTGTGTGTGTGTGGTTATGCGTATGTATTTATTTGTTCATTTGTACAAAAGAGATTATACTGTAATGCTGTTACATATTATCTGTTTTCCATTTTTGCTTCATCTTGGAGATTTTCTCATATTAGGTCTCATAAAAGACCTCCTTTTAACAGTTGTGCAATATCCCTTTGTATGAATGTACCAGTCTAGTACATTGATGATTATTGATGATTGATGATGATTATTTAGGTTGTTTTCGTTTGGGGGTTGATACTGGCAATTCTACAACAAACATTCCAGTTCACGTATTTTGAAAAACATTTTCAAGGATGTTTCTAGGGGAAATTTTTAAAAGTAAAATTGCTGGTTACGTTCATATTCTTTCTTTTCTTTTCTTTTCTTTTCTTTCTTTTCTTTCTTTCTTTCTTTCTTTCTTTCTTTCTTTCTTTCTTTCTTTCTTTCTTTCTTTCTTTCTTTCTCTCTCTCTCTCTCTCTTTCAATAGGAATTGGCAAATTGTCCTCCAAAAAATTGCACATTTACTCTTCCACCATTTGTTTATGAGCTGGCCTATTTCTCCTATAACTTCACCAATCCTCAATATTCTCAAACCTGATGGGGTGAAAACTGGTATATTTTAATTTCTAAAAGCCCACACATTTTATTTATTTATTTATTTATTTTTAAAAGATGTTATTTATTTATTTGACAGAGACACAGACAGAGAGCACAAGCCAGGGAGCAGTAGGCAGAGGGAGAGGGAGAAGCAGGCTCCCCGCTGAGCAGGGAACCCAACGCGGGGCTCAATCCCAGAACCCCGGGATCATGACCTGAGCCGAAGGCAGACGCTTAACCATCTGAGCCATCCAGGCGCCCCAAAGCCCACACATTTTAGAATACATAAAACCAATTGATTGTTTTAAAAATATTCTTATATTGTTAATGTTACCATTGCTCAAAACCTTTGACAAATCAAAATTCCTTTCTGGGAATAATTTTCAGAACAACTTAATAAGCTACCCCACCCTAAATCACCTTTTACTTTATATTCACAGTACATTTTGGATCCTAAATGATCTTCCTCATCTTGAGAGGTGAAACCAAGGTTTTGTTTGGGGACTCAGGCCCTTCCTTTCAATAATAGTGATCAACATTTCCTAATTATAACAAGCAAAAAGAAAACACATAAGTAAAGTGTAAATAAAAGAGTCTCTAGAAAAACTAGTATTTGTATTGATTTGTATCATATAATCAAAGCAAAATGAGTGATCTCAGTTGAAGCCTCTAGACAAGTCCACTACCCACCCACCCTCCCCCAGCTACGGAGCCTCAGTCTCTCTGTATATAAATTCAGAAGCTTTCAAGCCATGCATTTTATTCACAGGGCTTTGGTGTATGGTGTACAGTCATGCCACTCATTCATTATTTTATTCAACAGATACGTACTGAGCACCCACTCTACTAAGCACTGAGGTAGACCTTGCTTATAAAATTATGAGCAAAAAAACCCTGTTTTTTGTAGAAATTATAGTCTAATGTGAGAGACAGACATTAATTGAACAATTATATACACAATTATATATATACATATATAATTAAAACCTTGGGCAAGTACTATGAATGAATAATAACTGATGTTTACTGAAAGCTTACTATAAGCCAGATGCTGTGATAAATGTATTGTAGATCTTATGTCATGTAAGCCTCAACAACTCTATGAGATAGGTATGATAACTATCATCCTCTTCCAGATAAGAATCTAAGTCTCCTAGAAGAGAAGAAAATTGCCCAAGTTGCAGCTAACAAGTGATGGAGATAGTATTTGATTCCAGGCAGTCTAACTTCAATGGCCCTGAACTTCACCATTGGCTCTACTGCCCTTCTCTCTGTGTGAATGCATTTTAGAAAACTGACCTAGTCCAGGGAGTTCAGGATTGCAGGTTTGTTGAATGGATGGTGAACAAGTGAAAGAATGGAGAATGAACTTGGGTGTGTCCACATCCATCTCCTCGGCCTCTCACCCTCCAGCCTTCTTCCTAAGGCCATCCAGCTCATCCCGGTCCTTCCAGACCTCTACCTTCTATCCAGGTAGTTATCAAACTAGTTTTATCAGTGGACTTTCCTTAATTGAAAAATCTTGTGAAATCTTAGTTCACACCCCCTCTGTGGTAGACCCCCCACCTAGCAAAACACCAAATTATGTTTAACACATCACTCTATTTTACTCCCCAGTTGTCCCATGTGCTAATAATTCCAATTCCAGTTGGCTCAACAGAACTGTAGGATCTCTGGAGGAAAGATGAATGTCTTACTCTTCCTTCCTATCTTTCGTGAGATTTCAAACAGGTGTTGAATCTGTAATAAGTGCCTAAGAATTTCATTATTTCTTCTGTTTCTTTCCTTCCTTTTTTTAAGATTTTATTTTATTTATTATTAGAGAGAGAGGGAGAGAGAGAGCACGAGTGGAGGGAAGGGGCAGGGAGGGAAAGAGAGAGGCAGACTCCCCACTGAGCAGGGAGCCTAGCGCAGGACTTGACCCCAAGACCCCAAGATCATGATCTGAGCCAAAGTCAGATGTTTAACCAATTGAGCCACCCAGGCACCCCTCTCCTTTCCTTCTTGAATTGATGTTAAGTGAGGTGGATTCAAATCTTCCTGATTGGAACAAGAGGCCCATCAGAAGGGGTCCTTATGAACATTTATTAAGCATCTGGCTTTGTGCAGGATGCTTTATGTACATTGTGTCAGCTAGTTCTCACATCACTCTGGGATGGGTATCAACATTCTAGCTTCACTGATAGAAAACCAAGGCATTGAGAATTTAAGTAACATGCCTCAATCCCACAGGAAATAAATTTTAATTCACAGGTGTTTGATTCCAAAGCTCTGGCCCTGTCCACTATAGCATGCGATCTTTGTATATTAACTATATTTAATCTTTTCTTGAAGGAGCCCTATACCCAGATGGAACATCTGGAAGGAATAAGAATGATGATATGGTTCCTCCTGGCAATAACTACACCTATATCTGGCCAGTGAGAGAAGAATATGCCCCTGCTCCAGCGGACGCCAACTGTCTGACCTGGGTGTACCATTCGCACATTGACGCGCCTAAGGACATCTGCTCTGGGTTAATTGGCCCCCTGCTGGTATGCAAGGAAGGTAAGGAGCTCTTCCACCCCCCACCAACACACACACACACACACACACACACAAGCCTATTCCCAGATGTATTAAAAAGTATGTATAAATTTTGGGCTTTGTTTTGCCTGCCTCCCTTGCTCCATACAAAGGTGCCTTTTCTTCCAAGCTTTCCATAAGATTAGGGAGATTCCTCTAACATAGAAGGCCAGTCTGACACCACAGCAGGGGTAATAATTCAGACTTCTGTCAAGGAACCATCATTAGCATTCTGAAATTTATATACTTTAAAAAAGAAAACAAACCAGGGACATACCATATTGATAGCCATTCATGCCAGCCCCTACCACACATAGAGAAGTGAAGAATGTAGCCAAATGGCCAAGCCTGCTTTTGCTTTGATATTTCACCTGCATGATCACTTTTTGTCCCCCATTAATTGCGTTAGTGTGTCTGTGCTCTATCAGTAACACTGGCTCCCTTTGGGAGCAGTTGCTGTGAAGGCTTCTGTTTCATGACTTTTCTCTTCTACGACTCTGTCATTTCCATTAAAATCCTTTGCTGCTTTCATGTTGTGGTTATTCTTGTTCTTATAAGTCTTTGACTGACTTCAAACTTACCTGATACCATTGGCAAGAGGCAAAACTCATCTTGATTTAATTCACTTTGAACGATTTTCCTCCACTCTTTTGGATGTCCCCCCTGATAGGTGTCCTGAATAAATATTCCGGGACAAGGACAGATGTGGACCGAGAATTCATTATAATGTTTACTCTGGTGGATGAGAATCAAAGCTGGTACCTTGATGAAAATATCAGACATTTCTGCACTGACCCTGATTCAGTTGACAAAAAAGATGCTGTTTTCCAGAGAAGTAACAAAATGCATGGTGAGTGTCTCCCGTGTTATCAAATATATACCAAATGCTTTTTGTGGATCTGAAACTATGAGGCCAGGGATGAAAAAACACAGAAAGGTCTAACCCGGTTTTCTAGGATTGAGAACTCAGTGATAAGAATGGTTAGGAAGTGATATGAAACACAATCCATGTCAGAACATAAAACAATCTGAGAAGAGATGAGGCAATAGATATCAGCTGAATTGTGTATGACAAGCTATGGTATGGAAAGTGGAAGGATTAATGTTATAATCAGGAAAGAATCAAGAGGTGATCCTAGAGAAGGATGGGTTTATATTGACAGGAGAAAGGAGAATGAACTGCCATCATATAACAATTCTGTGGTTTGCAACATTTCGCATTATTCCAGTAACCATTTCCTGAGTGACAGCTAAAATTTAAAAACTATGCTGTATGCTATGTTTAAATACACACTTGTGAATTTGTTATATTTCCCAGGCATTCCTTTTTTGAAAATAATAATTTTTTTTTTTTTGAGAGAGAGAATCTTAAGCAGACTCCACGCCCAGCGTGGAGCCTGACACAGGGCCCAATGTCACAACCCTGAGACCATGAACTGAGCTAAAATCAAGAGTTGGATGCTTAACCGACTGATCCACCCAGGCACCCCTCCCAGACAATCTTTCAATCAACATTTATTGAGCATTCACTATGTGCCAGACCCGTATTTGAAAATAGTGAACTTCTATAGTTATCTTCTCCATTGAGACAGACCACTTACCCACATCTGTTTTGCAGAGTAGTGGCTTAATACAGAATTTTAAGACTTGGAGATTATTAAGTAGACTCATTCTTCTGTTTTCCTAGAGAGTTCTAGTGAACACAAAGAACATCTTCAATGTAAACAAACACCCCATGTCATTCATTGATAAATTTCCTTCATATTTGCTTGTCTGTCTCCTAGAATCATCCTAACCAAGGCAGCATCAATGTAGTTAAAAAATCATAGGAGAGAGGGAAGGGGCTGAAGATCATCTGACCTCCCCTATTTTACAGAAGAAGAAACTGAAGTCAAGAGACCATCAATGACTTGCCTAAGGTCAAAGTGATAATTAGGGCCAGAGTTGCCTGAGAGAAGCTAAGAGAGGAGCCCCATAGCAAATAAATGTTAGTTTGGTTGTGTTTGATTCCAAAGTGTGTCGAGGTGTGAGTGTCAGTATACTGACGATTTCCACTGCATCACACACCCTCTCTGTTCTTTCTAGTGGTATTTCAGTAACCTTGTGTGAGGGGGGTGTTTGGAAAATATTTTAGGAGGGAAGAAGTAAAGGAGGGAAGGGAGGGAGGCAGGGGAAGCAGGGAAAGAAGTGAAGGACAGGATAAACAAAGACCTAAATTCAAAACATTGCTGTGTCCAGTCAACTTTTATCCCTATGCTTTACAGAATGGTGGCAATGCTCTCAAATCTTGCTGAAAACTACTGTGATGGTTTACGACTCAGCTGCCCACAGAATTTCTTTCACTCTTTCAAATGAAAATGTCCAACAAAAAGGAATCAATTACATAAGCAAATATAGACTGTATTTAAAATAAAAATCAGCCTGGGGGTGCCTGGTTGGCTCAGTCGGTAGAGCATGCGAATCTTGATCTCAGGGTTGTAAGTTCGAGCCCCACACTGGGTATAGAGATGACTTAAAAATAAACTCTTTTGATGGCTGCATAATATTGGTATTCTTAATCTCAGGAAACAAACTGAGGGTTGCTGGAGTCGGGGGTGATGTGAGGGATGGGGTGGCTGGGTGATAGACATTGGGGAGGGTATGTGCTATGGTGAGTGCTGTGAATTGTGCAAGAGTGTTTAATCACAGATCTGTACCTCTGAAACAAATAATGCAATATATGTTAAGAAAAAAAAAGAAGATAACAGGAGGGGAAGAATGAAGGGGGGGAAATCAGAGGGGGAGACGAACCATGAGAGATGATGGACTCTGAAGAACAAATTGAGGGTTTTAGAGGGGAGGCGGGTGAGAGGATGGGTTAGCCTGGTGATGGGTATTAAAGAAGGCACTTTCTGCATGGAGCACTGGGTGTTATGCACAAACAATGAATCATGGAACACTACATCAAAAACTAATGATGTAGTGTATGGTGATTAACATAACAATAAAAAATTTTAAAAAATGAAAAAATAAATAAATAAACTCTTTAAAAAAATAAAAAATAAAAAAATAGGGGCACCTGGGTGGCTCAGTCGGGAAACAACCAACTCTTGGTTTCAGCTCAGGTCATGATCTTATGGTTGTGGGATTGAGCCACTCGTTGGGCTCCACACTCATCTTGGAGTCTGCTGGATATTCTCTCTTTCTCACTCTCTCTAAAATAAGTAAATAAATAAATAAAATCTTTTAAAAATAAATAAAATTTTTAAAAATAAGTAAATAAAAATAAAAATCAGCCTGTATGCAGAAGTACGTGTTTGCAAACAGTCGGTCTTCTTCGAACTAGTAAAGGAGACCTAACCAAGAATAGAAAAACATCAACTTATGGGGCACCTGGGTGGCTCAGTCGGTTAAGCGGCTGCCTTTGGCTCAGGTCATGATCCCGGGGTCCTGGGATTGAGCCCTGCATTGGGTTCCTTGCTCCGTGGAGAGCCTGCTTCTTCCTTTCCCTCTTTCTGTGTGCCGGTCCCCCTGCTTGTACTCTCTCTCTCACTATCTCTCTGTGTCAAATAAATAAATAAAATCTTAAAAAAAAAAAAAAAAGAAAAACATAAACTTAAAAAAAAAAACAACAAAAACTAGTCCATAGAAGATGCTTGATCAATATAATATTTATTGATAAATTTATTTAAATATACTAAAATTGTTTAGAATCAGTTGTGCTGTCAGTTTGGATTTAAGAAGTGATGTTATGACTCTTTAAAACCATGAGTCAAGTTTTCTTCTGCACTTGGTCAAGTTCTGGCTGCCATTCAGATGATTCAAAAGACTAGGTCTCAGACTTCCAGCGTAAGCTCAATCAGTTAGATGCTGCCCCAGCAAGACCTAGTAACAACTGTTTTTTCTCTCTGCTTTTAAAATAACAGAACTTTAAAGTAACACGTCTCATAGGTCCCTTCTAATCAGCTCCTTTCATTTCCTTCTTGCTGCTCACTTCGGTTACTTAAATTAAGTAGCTCCTATGTGCCTGCTTTTCTGCTGGGTCCTGATAGCTGTGGAATGGGTGAGATGGGGTTTCTAATGTCAGGGACCAAGAGTCCTGTAGGGAAGTCAGGTATGAAAATGAAGGATCGCAGGGTGATGGGTATTGAAGACGGTACGTGCTGTAATGAGCACTGGGTGTTACACTTAACTAACGAATCATTGAACACTACATCAAAAACTAATTATGTACTATACAGTGGCTAACTGAACATAATAAAAATAAAGAAAGAAAGAAAGAAAGAAAGAAAGAAAATGAAGGATCACGAGAGGAAGTGGCTGAGCCATCCTGAAGTCTGAGCAGTGCTCTGTTTATTCCTGACCTCATTATTGTGTTCACACAGCAGCTCCAAGTCTGTTTCCTGTGTGCTCATCTCCACTTTTATTGAGTGCTCTTCTCTTGAAAAACCTTTCACTCTGTTCTGGGACTGTAGTTTTTGAAAGGAGTCATGCTTTTCTGCACAAAAACATTACAAGTGATGATCAGCACTCAGTTTTCAACTGTGCTGGAGTATGTGTTACCCCCTCTACAGGGGACTCTCTTGCACCAGTGTGTTTCTGTTTTTCAGCCCTCAATGGATACCTCTTTGGAAACCTCCCTGAGCCTGAGATGTGTGTTGGTGAATCGGTGTCCTGGCACCTCTATGGGATGGGGAATGAGATAGACATCCATTCCATCTATTTTTATGGCAACACCTTCATCAGCAGAGGGCATCGGACTGATGTCATCAACCTGTTCCCAGCCACCTTCCTGACAACAGAAATGGTAGTCGAGAATCCTGGGAAGTGGATGATAACTTGCCAAGTTAGTGATCACCTACAAGGTAAAAAGGACAAGGGCCAGTGTAGCGTGTGGATGTTTCGAGGGGGATGATTATAACACACAGTCAATGATGCTCATTCAGTATCTGCTGTTAGATAGGTTCTTGTATTATATTTAATTAAATATTGAGTATAGAGGAAAATGCACAATGCTCATTTATTTGCCATCCTATCAACAGATATTTATTCATCAACTCCCTATGAAAAAGGTGGGAGGTGAATGAAAGAAATGGTAAGACCTTTAAGGAGCCTGCAGTCTAGTAGCTAGACTTTGTTAGACATTTGCAAATGAATAAAATCTGAGGCAGAAAGATAAATGCTCTTTGTTTGCTATGGTCACCTCTCTGGAACAAGCAGAGGGACTTCCTGAGGTGTTGGCCCCTAATCTGAGTCTTGAAATATGGGTAGGAATTGAACAGATGAAGAAGGGAAGAAAGGCTTTCCAGGCAGAGGAAGCACCATGAACCAGGAAAAAGACATGTTCTATACAAGCAGCTGTAAATAGAATAATAACATTTTAACATTGGAGAGAAATTTATGGATAATCTGGACCAACCCAACATCTAATTCTTCCATTTCTTCTGGATATCTCTTTTAAGTAACTGTAGCAGCCCATTTCATCTCTGGGCTTCTCTGTTAGAATGTTATTCCTTATATTGAGATAAGAGCCAATGATAGCTGCAAAATCCTATGATAGGTACATGATGAACATTTTCTTTTTTTACTTAAATGCCTGTTGAATGACTTAGTCTCATCCTTTGGGACCACACAGAATGGGTCTCTCCTCAGCTGGACTGTAGGCTTATGCCAGAAGAGTGATAAGAGAGAAGTCTATAGAGGCAGAGCCTAGTGGGAGGAGATCTGAAGGGCAAAGCTAAGGAGTCAGGACTGTGTCTGGAAGGCCAAGAGGGTTCTTCCAGATCCTTAGGCACATCAGTGCAGCAATTTAGGAAGATAAGTATGATACCTGTGTGCAGAAAGGATTTGATGGAGAGATTCTGGCCACTGGATGCTAGTTAAGAAACATTGGCAACACTAGAGTTATGACATAGAAAAGGTCTGGCCTCAAGATGTCCATCAACAGATGAATGGATAAAGAAGATGTGGTATATATATGCAATGGAATATTATGCAGCCATCAAAAAAACCCCAAAATCTTGTCATTTGCAATGAAGTGGATGGAACTAGACGGTATTATGCTAAATGAAATCAGTTAATCAGAGAAAGGCAAGTGTCATATGATCTCACTGACATGAGGAATTTGAGACACAAGACAGAGGATCATAGGGGAAGGGAGGGAAAAATGAAACAAGATGAAACCAGAGAGGGAGACAAACCATAAGAGACTCTTAATCTCAGGAAACAAACTGAGGGTTGCTGGAGTGGAGGGAGGTGGGAGGGATGAGGTAGCTGGGTGATGGACATTGGGGAGGGTATGTGCTATGGTGATTGCTGTGAATTGTGTAAGACTGATGAAACACAGATCTGTACCTCTGAAACAAATAATATATTATATGTTTAAAAAAAGAAGAAGAAGAAGAAGAAGATAGTAGGAAGGGAAAAATGAAGGGGGCGGAAATCAGAGGGGGAGATGAACCATGAGAGACTATGGACTCCGAGAAACAAACTGAGAGTTTTAGAGGGGAGGGGGGTGGGGGGATGGGTTAGCCTGGTGATGGGTATTAAGGAGGGCACGTATTGAATGGGGCACTGGGTGTTATATGCAAACAATGAATCATGGAACACTACATCAAAAACTAATGCTGTAATGTATGTTGACTAACATAACATAATAAAATTAAATTAAAAAAAAAGAAAAGGTCTGGCCTAAGATGGTGAGAACAAAATAGAAAAAAAAAAAAACACGTGTCAATGGAATAGACACAGAAGAAATAATGTGTAATTAAATTTGGATACTGACTCACTACCCACAGTCACCAGCAGGTACAGGGATGCAACTCTCCAGGGCAGCTTTGATAACAAATTCTTGTTCCTGTCAACCTTAAGCAGCTAATCTTAACATTAGTCAGCTGGGTTATTTCAATTCAATTCAATTCAATAAATGTTGAGTGGATCAGTAAACATGTACCAGATACTGTTCTGGGAAGACAAAGTGATCAAGACAAGATTCCCATTCTTATTTCCCCCCAGTTTTATTGAGGTATAATTGATACATAGGAATTGCATATATTTAAGATGTGCAACTTGATGTTTTGATATATGCATACTTTGAACTCATCACCACACTCAAACTAATTAACACAGCCATGACCTCGCATGGTTAACTGTGTGTATGCGCATGCCCATGCTAAGAACACTTGAGATCTCAAAGAGTACAAAGTTCAGTTATGCAAGATGAATGAGTTCTGGAGACCTAATGTACAGCATAGTGACTATGGTCAATACTGTAGAATGTACGTGAAATTTCCTAAGAGGGTAGATATTAAGTGTTCTTACTGCAAGATCCCTATTCTTACAGGGTCTCATGCTGTTACATGTAGGAAGAAACTAGTTTTAAAATCAAGGCATTCGCAGCTTATTTGAGACTAGTAAGATTGCTAAGCATGGCCAGTGGCTGTGGACATAAGCTGGTGTTTGTACATTACTGAAATAGAGCATTTCCAAAATTATCCATAGCCTCAGAAAAAAATTATCATAAAAAATTAGAAAATACACTTAATTTTAAAAATCAGTAATTCTGTCTTAGGATAATGGTGTTACGTTTTGAGGAACATTCTCCCTCTATTTTTTTAGACCTTTATACATAAGTGCATGTTATTTATAAAATGAAGTGAATCTATTAATACTGCCCTTTATCTTACTTTTCCCACTTATTAATATATCAGAAATACATTTCCGTGTCAGTGAATATAAAGCTACTTCGTCATTGTTAATCCTCCCAGTGTGCTTGCAAAGGAGATTACGATTTACCCAACAAATACTCTGTTGCTTAACACTTGTATTTTCCCCTCATTTTGGGGGGGCTATCATAAACCATACTAAAAAAACTCAGTTTACAGATATGTTACACTTTTGTCTGATATTTCTTTAGGAAAATTCTTAGATTTAGAATTCTTGGGTCAAACAGTTTGATTTTTCTCTTATAGCTATGGATGGACATGTATTGCCAAATTCTCTTTTACTCCTCACCCTTAGTGTGTGAGAATTCCCCATTCATCTGCCAACACTGAGAACTATTAGTGTTTCTAATCTTTACCAATCTGATAAATGGGTAACAGTGTTGCTTGATTACTATTAATATTGAACTGTTTTTTTCATGTGTTTATAGGTCGATGGTATTTAGATAGATTTTGTGAATAATCTCTTGATGTCCCTTGCCCATTTTCCATTGGGAGATTTACTTTCTTCTTTCTTCTTTGTCAAATGTATTTATGTATTAATCTTTTGTCCTATGTGTTAAAATATCCCCCTACCCACCACTTATCCTTCACTTTTAACTTCGTTAAGGTCCTGGTTTTCTATACAAAAGTTTTAAATGTTTACAAAGTCAAATCTATCAGTCTTTTCCTGTCTGATTTCTTTTGTGAGCATTAATACCCTGGCTTGTGGTTTTCCTCTGTTCTGCAGCCGGCATGCTGGGACAGTACAATGTTGGTAACTGCAAAGGTGATATTCCTCACCCCAAAAAGAAGGGTCAGCAGAGGCACTACTTTATAGCAGCTGAAAAAGTTCTTTGGGATTATGCTCCTCAAGGCTATAACAAATTCAGTGGTCTTCCCCTAAATGCTTCTGGCAGGTAAGTACTCTTTGCTGGTGTTTCTAAGCTTCTCATAAGGGAGGCATCTGCTAGACCTTTTTCTGGGACCTCACTTGTATCCCCAGACCTTATCTTATGAGCGCATACTCCATAGATGGCACCACTTAAAGGGTTAACGACACTAAAAGACACCACTTAAAGGGTTCTGAGTCCTGTAACGTACATATTGCTGAGAATTGGCAGGGTATTTATTGTGTCATGATTGGCTGACTATATCAAAGCACTAAATTCATTCATTCATTCATCAAACATTTCTTGAGCACCTACTGGGTGAAAATTGCAGTGCTAAGTGCCATGAGAAATACTAAGCTCACAGAGAGCAGACTAAGGTCTTTGCACATGTGGAAAAGACAGTTTTGAAGAGAGAATAAGACAGGGCTCTCTTTCAATAGACATGAACTGACCAAGGAAAGTTACCCTTTCTGGTTCAAGGACATCCTGATATGTTATGCCCCCTCTACCCAGAATATCTTTTTCCTACCTATCCAGCAAAATGTTATTTTTCCTTCAAAATCTAATTCTAATGTCACCTCTTAAGTGAAGCCTCCCCTGACTCCTGAGTCATTGTTAATCATTTTCTCTCCCATAGCATGTAGTATTTTTCAAATTAAATCTAACAGTTCACTAAGTGGATGTGGACTCCTGTGACTTGTTATTATAGAATCCTGTGCAATGATATCTGTGAAAGCATTTTGAAATGTGCAGTATGATACCAAGAATGATCATTATTACCCTATGATCCCTTTTATGTTTGAGGGAATGTTTTTAAAATTCTCTTTGTGATGGATAAGATACCCTTCATTTCTTTCATCATAATTTCACTCATTCATTCACTCTTCCATCAAACCAATGCCCTTGAACCTAACCTAAAGAATGTGTATGAACCATATATGAACCTGTTTGAAATCAACACTCTCTATTGACCAGTATTTCTCTATAAACAGAATAATGAGAACTGGCATTGGGAATTTTGTCTTAGAAACCTTCCAGAATTCTGAAGCACCTTTATGAAATATTAAACTATATTTAACTGATATTTAATGTGATATATGGAAACACAACATAAAAACTGACACGAGGGTTGCAGGGAGCTGAAAGGCAGTGTTCCCACCCTCGGGTCAAAAAGAAGCTGTGTGTGCAGGAGAAGAGAAGTAAGTTGGCAAGTTACAAATAAGATTAAGATGAGTTGTCCAGACAAGGGAGTTCTCTGGGCGTTCAGAGAGAGCTAAGACAGCCAGGGAACACTTCTCAGAGGAAATGGGACTTAAGCAGAGTCCTGGAGAATAGTGGAATTTATATAAGTGAATCGTAAGGAGGGAAATTTTAGTTGCAGGGGTTAGTGAGATCAAAGTGATTGGATGGGGGATTTGCACAGGGGAGTGGAGGTTTGCCTAGAGCCATAGGGAGAGGATTGGGTAAACTGGATCTCAACCGCAGATATCCTATAATCCTTTTGAACTTTACCTGATTGGCGGCTGTAAACGGGTGAAGATGTTAGAGCAGGCCGTGGAGATTACCATCTTGGAGATTAACGTTGTAGGAGTGCGTATGCTGAGGGAGAACCCAGAGCGAGCGGAGGCTAGAGGGAGGCTGTGGAGGGTGTAACCAGAGCTCCGTAAAACGCTGCAAACACAAGGTGATGGGGGCAGGTACGGGACTTGTGGCAGCGGGGAGAAAGGCAAGGAAAAGAGGCAAAAAGGGTACAGAGAAGGAAAGATGAACAAGATAAGGAGATGAGGCAGAGAAAGAAGACAAAGGCAGCCTGTGTGACTGCAGGAGTGGTGGTACCGTTGGCAAAAATAAGGTATCTAGAGATAGTGCTAGCCAGAATTCACATCACTGCAGTTCACAACTTTGGAATTTGGTATTTCATGTATATCGTTTATACGATAACTCTCCATTGACTAAACTATTTGATTAACTAGACACTCCATTCCTTAATCATGCCAGATATCAAAGAGCTTACTAGATGCAGAGACTATTCATATTGACATCAGCAAGAGATAGAGGGATACTTACTCTGCAAAGAAACCAGTTAGCTCTTTACTTTGTAGAACACCATTCTGGGACTGCAATGCTGGTAAGTAAGGAGTTCACCTGTGCTTTCTTCGGTTGCTGGACCTCTGGGGAAGAAAGTAGGTGGCTAAGAGAGGAGTGAGCTTGACCACCATCCAGCCTGAGACTTTCAAGGCTGCCTGACTATTCCGGGGCACTTGGTTGAAGACTGGACCATTTTTCCCAGGGAGATGGGTGGGTGAATGAGCTAAAGAGAATAAAAGGAAGCTCCATAATTAAGGCATCTGGTGGATATGTAGAGATGTGCTCTCAGTCAGGTTCCTATTCTTTACACAGTGACTCCGAGCTCTACTTCACACAAGGGGACAACAGAATTGGAGGAAAATATTGGAAGGCTCAGTATATGGAGTATGTTGATGCAACTTTTACTCGAAGAAAGAGACTCTCTGAGGCAGAAGCCCATCTTGGAATTCTTGGTAGAATAAAACCATCTGTCATGTTTTGAATGGGGGGAGATGCTTTAGTGGGGCATATATGTACATGGGATGACTCTCCTTCTCCTGCATATATTCACTTCCCTCTGCCCCTTTTCATCCTCTTCTCCCTCCTCCTCTTGATATCTTTCAGGCCCCGTCATCAGGGCAGAGGTGGGTGATACCCTGCTAGTCACCTTTGCCAACAAAGCCGACAAAGTCTACAGTATTTTGCCCCATGGCGTGATCTATGACAAGGCCTCTGATGCAGCCCCAAACATAGATGGTGAGTCTCAGGCTGGCCTCTGGGAGGAAAGAGGATGAGGGAACAGAGGACTTAGAACTGGATAGATTTGGTTCAGATGCCGGCCCCTTTTCTTACCAGCCCTGGGAGCTTTGTGAGCTTGTGCCTTACTCTTTCCCTACTAATGTAGATAGTGACACTCTGACTCCTTCAGAAGGAGCTGGAGAGAATTAAGGGCAGGGTCTGCTCCACAGTAAGCACTGAGGAAATGTTCATTCCTTTCCTTTTACCTCAGTAATGTAATAAATCTCAAAGTGAGCTACGTTCACGGTCACCCCCACTTCCCTAAGATGGAGAGCTTTCAACCACAGGTTATAGGGGATTCTGTGGGTAAAGGCTGAGGATAAAATCTGATTTCCAATGTTTGGTTGACATCAAAATCCTGCACTGTCTCTGTTGACAAATATTTATTGATAATCAGTCTCATGTGTTTACCATCATATATGGCCTCTCCCCTTCACAGAGTAGGTGGCAGAGACTCCCTACATGTGAGAAAGGCAGCTTTGGCCCGGTAGCTGCAGGAACTACACTTCCACTCATGATACTACTCTTGGGAACCTCCTAGTCTCCTTGGAAGTCTTCCCCATCATTGCAACAGACATTATGAAAGTCTGGGATACTTCATGCCCAAGGATGGGACTAGGCCCAGTCCAGAGCAGGCTTTGAAATGATGGGAACAGAGAAGGGAGGAATGGAGGGAGAATTCCCCCTTCACAGACCCATCATCATCCTCCCTCCTACAGCAACATCTCTTCTACCTGTACTTTCTCCTTGGTCAAAATGCTCACAATGGCTTTGTGTGTGTGTGTGTGTGTGTGTGTGTAGGAAGACAGCCAGTGACAGCCCATATGTCTATAATTTCTATTGTTTATCTTAGCAAACATACTGGGCATGTTTTTGCAAAGCTCTGGACAAGGTGCAGAGAGTTTCTGGCCTCAGCCTGGCTGGAGAGACTCAACGTATTCATCGTGTTCATTTGGCAATCTGATGTGTGGGCTGAGTGCCAAGTCTTTGGAATCAGACAGCCCTGAGTTTGAATCCCAGACCTGCCACTTATCAGCTTTGTCATCCTGTGTCGTCACTTACCTCCTCTATCTTATGGTTATTTGGCTTATTTCCTAGTTCATCCTAGATTTCAAACTCTTTAAAGACAGGGCGCTTGCTTAACTTTTTGGGGTATCCTCCGCAGTGCTGAGTATCATGTATTCCTCATACGAAGGCACTCAATGAGAGTTTGTGGATTTACATTTAATTGTTAGAGAGGCAATTATCACTCTTTTCATATTTACTAAGCCTAGTATTTGGGTAAGAAATAGTATCTACGAAGACACTAAATGTAATCTCTGAAGAAGATGACCCTTGGATATAAGCTGCATTCTCATACAACAGCGGACGGTGACAGTGACCTCCCTGGTAGGATACCCGAGTGGAAACAACTGTTCTTCTATAAAATACATCATCAGAGAGAGACCCCAGGGCTGGAAGACCCAGTCTGACAACCTAATGTTCTTGGCTCTTGCTCTGAGAGTAACTGTATCTATTATCTGCTCAGGATTTCTGAAGCCAGGGGCTCATGTGAAGCCAGGTGAAACCTTCACGTACAAGTGGACAGTGCCTGAGAGTGTAAGCCCGACGGCCGGTGATCCCCCCTGTCTGACCTATCTTTACTTCTCAGCGGTGGAGCCCATCCAGGACACCAGCGCTGGTCTTGTGGGGCCCTTGCTAGTCTGTAGGAAGGGTGCTCTCAATGCCGATGGGACACAGGTAGGCCATCCAAGGTCCCTAAATTCTCCTCAGGGTTGTATGTGGGAGACAGCAATAATATGGCTAAGGATTAGAGTGTAATAAGGTGTCAGGTATGAAAAGCGGTTTTTCCTCCTTCTTAAAATTGACTTAAGATACAGAATGAGTATCTTACTTTTTGTAAATTTAAGATCTGAATTTAATTTTAAGGTAAATTTAAGATCCGAAAGTTATAGATGCCCACCCAGAAACCCAGGATTTCTGCTTGTTGTGGCTGGAATTTGGTGGGTCCCTGTACCTGTGCATTGCTTTGATTCTAGAAATCTTTAGGGATCTACATGGACTGTGAATTGGGACCCTTTCTTCTTGGACAAGGTTTCTCAAACTTGGCCACATGTTAGAATCACATAGGGGACCTTTTAAACATCTTTCATTCCAGTGCTTCAGACCGATTCAATCAGAATTTCCAGGTGCTTTCTAATGTGTAGCCAAGGTAGAGAACCATTGTAACTCACCACTGTAAACTGCAAGTGAATCACTAGGGTCAAGGGCACAAGAAAGCATGTAGATAAATTCTTGTAAGTCCCAACTTGGAGGCTTTGCTGGTTGCATTGACTAGTGTGGCAAAGCATAGCATTTCAAGCTATGTCTACATGATATTAAACACATTGATGAAAGGAGGAAAATCTAATCATACAACCATTTTGATTTATTTCACCAATCAGAAATAGCAAGGCTATTTATTTACATGGTATATTTTATAATGTTGGCATTGTAAGCACCCACTTCTGGGCTCCAGGGAATTTCTAGGTAAAGGACACAAAGTGTCTTAGTCCACCTCAGATTTTCATTTCCCTGCACAAAGTTCCAATCCTAGAAATGTCTATTAGAGGCTCAGTGTGTCAGGGCCCTCCAAATGGGCCCTCAATAATGCATGTGTAATAGGATTGAACAGTTACACTGTACCCCAACAGTCATATAAGGCAAAGCAGACTGACATCCCTGTTTTAAAGCTAAAGAAACTGAGGCCCAGAGACATTGAGTGATATCCCAAGTAGTAAGTAGTGAAACTCAGCAGTAACAGAGGGCTTTGAGCTTCCAACTTTGTTTTTCCAATGCACTACCCTGCTTCCTATAGCTAAATACCTGACCCCAGGAAACTAAGTACCAGAAAACTTCTGTAAGGTAGTTCTGATTTTGCCCCTATTGCATCCAAGTAGCTTGGATGCTTGCTAGAAGCACGTCATAGTATGTGAAGATTGTTGCCTGAACCAAACACCGCTCATGGTCAGTCCATTTACATGAAGTTCATGAAAAATTAATGGTAACCTGAAATACCCCACACCTGGGACTTGGCTGAGAGAGAAATCCATTTGGCCAGACAGAAAGTTTCTTCAATGCGAAAAGTACTTATGAAACACATACTCACGCAGGCCATCTGTAGGTCAAAGCTTAGGTCTCTTCTCTTCAGGTAGATCGAGAACATGAAAGACGTATTTGCATCTCTTTCCAGGAAATTCTCCCAGGGGTGAATGGATGTCACAGAATCTAACTAGGTGCTAATAGGCCCTTTGCTAACACCCATGCCTTCTACAATGGCCACTTAATCAGACTCCCTACTTCTACTCTCTGTCTATCCAGCCATCTATGCCTATCTTATTTTGAATAATTACTGAATAGTTTGAGACTTACACAAAAGTTGCACAAAAAACCACACAAAGAATTCCCATATATCCTTCACCCAGGTTCCCTAAATATAAACATTTTGCCTCATTTGCTTTATTAGCTTTCTCTTTAGTTTTCTGTTTTCTTTCTCCTGACCTATGTGAGGTAGGTCATAGACTTGATGTCTCTTCAGCATGTTTCTGAAAAGTGAGGTCACTCTCTGACATAAATGCAGCATAATTATCCAGGTCAGGAAATTAGCCTTGATACTGTACTATTATCAAATCTGAGCACCCTTGAAAATTTTGCTGTCTTTCTGATGTCCTTCATAGCAAAAGGAAAATATGTTTGCCTGGTCCAAGCTCTGATCTAGATCATGCATCATCCCCTCTTCATGCCCCTGTTTCTCCTGTGATCTGTTTCTTCACAGGGAAGCAAGTGTGACTTTTCTAAAATGTGAATAAGATCAAATCACATCCATGTTAAACACCCTCTAGTGGCTTCCTATCACACTTGGAATAAAAATCTACATTTCTTAGCCCAGGCTTATGTGCCCAGCCTCTGACTCCTTCTTTGATATGTCTCCCACACTCCCTCATGCCTACCTCTGCTCCATCCATATAAACCTTGCTGTTCCTTGAACAGACCAACATTATCCTTGGCTTAGGGTCTCTTTACTAGGTTCCCTCTGCCTGGAATGCCTTCCCCTGACCTTGCATGGCTGGCTTTTCCTGTCACCTCTTTAGAAAAGCCTTCCCCGATCACCAAGCTAAAGTCATACTCTATCACATCACCTGATTTTCACAGGACATTTTCTTTGTTTATTTTTTATGTTTCTGGTATGTTTCTTCTAACAAGAATATAGGTAGCACGGGGCAGGAAAGTTGTCTGTCTTATCTTCATTTCCCAGAACAATGCCTGGTACACTGCTGACACTCCACCGATATTTATAGTTGAATAAATGAAATACAGGATAAGCACTCCATCTTCAAAATCATATTAAGAAGTTTAGGTAGCAGAAAATGCCACATTACACACACTTAAATATTAAATGTGTGGTCTGCAAGTAGACACTAAAAATTTCAGGACAACCTTATTTGCAAAACTCACTTCCCATATCCACATTTCAACACTCAAGATTTGTGTGATCGATCATGATTCAGACCTCCTGGTTTCCCTGCTGCTGTGGGAGCCTAAATCATACTGATGTAAGTGCTCTTCACAAAAGAATTTTTTGCTGCGGACACTAGCCATCACTCAGATGCATTCCATGCACAGATGGCAAGATGGATTAATCCAAGTTCTCCAGAGAAAAAGAACCATAAGGATGTATATAGAAATAGAAACATACTCATTATAAGGACTTGGCTCACATGATTATGGAGGCTGGTAAGGTCCAGGATCTGCAGAGAGAGTCGGCAAGCAAGAGACCCAGGAGACACAAAAGTCCAGCAGGCTCAGGACCCAGGAAGACCGTATGTTTGAGGTTAAGTGTGAAGGCAGAAAAAAGTCAATATTCCACTTCAAAGGTGGGAGGAATTCTCTTTTACTTGTGGGAGGGTCAGACTTTTTGTTCTATTGAGTCCTTCAACTGATTGGATGTGGCCTACCCACATTGGGGAGAGCAATCTGCTTTACTCCATCTACCAAATTCAAATGTTAATCTCATCCAAAAACATCTTCATAGAAACATCCAGAAAAATGTTTGACCTAATATTTGAGTACTGCAGCTTAGTCAATTTGACACATAAAATTAACCATCACACAGGGTCCTATCACCTTTCACCTATCACTTTCTAACCTTTTCCTGGGTTAATTTCCCACCCTCATAGACCCAGTTACCTTCCAAATAACTCACAGGTGATGAGGTTTTTCAACTCAATACCTTTCAGTGGTTCCTTCTTGTTTTATGGACAGTTGAAATCATAGCTAATAATCACAATTAACATTGAGCACTTGGGATTTGCCAGATGCTGTGTTGAGTGCTTTACCTATATTATCTAATTTAACCTTCACCAAAAAACAGAAGTGGTGACTACTCTTATCCTCCTTTTGCAAATGAGGGAATTAGGGCTTAGAGAGGGTAAATGACTTGCCCCAGTTTCCACAGTGGATAAGCAGAATGACATTAGAATCCCATAATCTTTTAAAGTATACTTGACCTCTTATTTCTCCCCAATTTTTATATTTTACTTTGAAAAATTTCAAGCCTGCATTGTTCCTTTTCATAGCTCATGATCTTAAACTACTGCCTTCTAAAACACCATGTGATAAAAGCAATAACTGTATATAAGGTATGGTATGAGAATAAAGTAAAGGGTACCCACATCTTTGATGATATATTAGGAAAGCATCACAGTGGTGGGACAGCTAAACTGGCCCTTGAGGTTGGGTTAGGGTGGCAGATGTTCAAGTTGAAGGGATGCATGCATGAAAGACAGAGGCCCTCAGAATACAGCAAATTCAGATTGCTGCAAGGAGTTTGACCTCACTTTGGTCAAAGTGCCAGGAGGGAAGGGCCAAGATATGAGCCTGAGCAGGTAGGCAAGGACCAGATCACTCCAAGTTTGGACTGTATTGTCCGGTTTCAGAAGGAGAGAGATGTGATCAGTGGCATTGCTGGGGATCCCTCCAGAGCAGGCAGCAGGGTAAAGGGTGGGTTGGAGGGGAGCACATTAGAGATAAGAAGATGGTTGAAGGACAGAAAATATAGTCACCTCTCTGGTTCAGCTTTAAAGAAAAGCATATTTCAGCAATGCGGGATGCTGTGTGGTCAGACATGCTCAAACACATAGATTAGGAATATACACAGTGGGAAGTAATCCATGGTCCCCTCAATTTCAATTTATGTTAACATAATTTAGCGAAGTCTCATGGGTTATATGAATTCATTATTTCACTCAAAAACATGTAGAGTGCCTGCTTTTCCAGGCATTATTTTTTAACTGGGACACAGAGAGGAATCCAGAATGTCCCTACCCTCACAAAGCTACAATGCAGTGGGACATCAATCAAAAACCTAAATGCATAAATAAAATATCATTTCCCATGGAGATAAGTGCTATGAAGAAGAGTATAGTGGGAGTGAGTGAGTGAGTGAGTCTGCAGGTAGGATGGAAGCTGGGTGACTGTTTTAGACAGGGTGGTCCGGGAAGAGCCCTCGAGGAGGTGACATTTGTGCAGAGAACTGAACGGAGTAAAGGAGTGAGCCAAGCAAGACCTTCTAGGCAATGGGAACAGCACATGAAAGGAGAAACTTCTAGGCAATGGGAACAGCACATGAAAAGTCCCTGAGGTAGGAGTGAAGCTGGGTGATCATAGAAGAGCAGAAAACCAGGGTAGCTGGAGTAAGCAAGGGATGAGGACAAGGAGACACAGTCAGAGAGAGAGGCCAGGGCTTGGAGCATAAGAGAGTGACAACCAGCCTGAAAACAGGAGTCCCACAGTGTAGGAAAGCTTGTGAGTAAGGACTTATTTCCTCTGAGCAAGTCCCATGGGGAGAGAGAAGGATGTAATGAGGAATATGGAATTTTACGGTATAAAATGAATTTATCAGAATCACGGTCAGAATCCTGATTTCCAAAATGATCCAGTAAATCCTTGGCTGATGTTGGTCCTCATTTACTTTGTGTTAACTTTGAAAGTGAAGTAGAGATAAGAATTCCCTCCAAGCTGTACTTTTTATACATTCCTTTCTTTCTTCTCTGTAGAAAGGAATAGACAAGGAATTTTACCTACTGTTCACAGTCTTTGATGAGAACTTGAGCAGGTATCTTGATGAAAACATTCAGAGGTTTACATGGCACCCCTTCAGTATTGACAAAGAAGACAAGGATTTTGTGAAGTCCAACCGAATGCATGGTATGAAAAATGACTTTCCCTTCTGTAAGGGAAAGGTGTAATTGCTTTTGAAATGAAAATGTTTCAAATGTTTTAACTATCTTAATTTTTGTTTCTTGGTTATTGTTCTTGGTCACACGTAAATTATTTCATGACTTTATCTCAGAATGTATGGTGAAACCTCCCTATCTCCCAGCGATACTGTGAAACTTAATTAATACTTCCAGAATACTTCATCAGCTTGCGATGAAGCAACACAGAATATGAACTAGCAAAGATCACAGTACATTATAAAAGTACAAAATTACTGACAAAATGCCCTCCCTTGGGTTTGTAATCATATCATTAAGCCTGATAATCCAAGTGATCATTAGAGAGAAACATTAAACAGCAAAGCATCTCTTATCAAGTACATGAAGGACTGTCTAAAGTGCTAATTTGTAAAATGCTACCCATTCCTGTCCCAGATCTTATTTAGAAGGAATTACTTAATTCCCCTTCTCTGTGTCTCTTCTATCAGTTGTAACAGTGGCAAACCACCTTGTAATTGGCGTGACTAACACAAGATTCTCATTTGTCTTGGGCACACTACCTAAGGTGAGAGAATAATGAGTGAGAGCCCAAACTCAAACAACTACTAGAGTGTGCAGTCAACAAAGGGGCCCAAAGCAAGCACTCTAAGAGAACAGGTGCCAGATTTCTCATTTTAGGACCAAGGATAACAACTATGTATTGCCTTTGAAACATTATGGGAAAATAACAAAATAGTCCCTAATCTCCCTTCCCCCAAGGAAGTTCCAAGTGACCCATAGCAGGCAGCTCACAGACTCCTATGGTCCTGGGTGCTCCATGCCAACAGTCTCCTCTTCGACCAATGAAAAGCACAGAGTAACTCATTTTCAATACCATCTTCTACAAAATTTTTGTTATAACTGAATAATGAAATTTGTTTCCAATCTTCCTAGCAGCCAAAAAAAGGGGGGGTGGTGGAATAAAGTAGAATGAGGAAACAGCAATTCCTTCATGGAAAAGCTAAGTTGCAAAAGAAATTTATTGTAAGAGAGGCCTGTAAAGAGAAAGCATTAAACCCGTAATGGACCATGTCACATCCAGCCCCACCCTGGTGTGACAATGTGAAATACACTTTCATATATTGGATGTGTAAAATATGCCACCTTTAAAACAAAATGCAAGGAAAGCAATGTATTTTAATTTGAATTTTACATTAATTATAAATTAAATTCTATCTCCAGGCTTGCTTGCATGGAGTAGAAGGAAGAATGATGGGAACAGTACCAAAGAGAAAGTGCCTCACACGGTAGACAGTGCTTTGCATTACACCTACTATATAGTCTGTATTCAAAGGTGTTTGTTGATCTCTTTCCCTCAAGGGCATCCCCAGGGGCTTGCGAGCTGTCCTTGGGGGTCTTTTATGACAAAAAAGAAGCGTACCTACAGTAGTTCTTGGGTTAGTCAACAAATATTGACTGAGTTAGGGGACAAGACTACACAAGAAGGCAGAACAGTGTAACTTCTTTACCAGAACTTATCATGGGCTTTGGGTACCTTTATCTGACAAATTACAAAAATCTCTTTAACATTCAGTGGACAAGATTTACATAATTTATTTGCAAAAGCATTATCAAAGATTTTTTTCAGAAAATGCAATGTTCTTCTCAGAAGCCTCCAGGCTTCTTAGACTTTCTACTAATAATCCCAGACATTTGAATAAAATTACCAAGTACCACTGGTTCTGCAGACACAGAAATAAAAAAATGACTTTATCTGATAATGGGATTATAAAGAAGATCGTTCATATATATGATAGTTGTTCTTTCCTACTATGGGCATTATAAGGAGTGGCACGGGTATAGAATCTTTATCTAAGGGACATCAAACATGAGACATTAATTATGTGTAGTCCCCCCCCACCTCCGTCAAACAGTGCTATTCAGTTAATATATTCATCCCTCACAGAGTGGGAATGTGGTTTCTCAATTCTTTTCAAGGCACTGCTCCAGGTAGTCACTATCAGTGGATTGAGGTTGATATAAAAGATTTTCATTTCGGGCGCCTGGGTGGCTCAGTTGGTTAAGCGACTGCCTTCGGCTCAGGTCATGATCCTGGAGTCCCAGGATCGAGTCCCGCATCGGGCTCCCTGCTCGGCAGGGAGTCTGCTTCTCCCTCTCCCACTCCCCGTTTGTGTTCCCTCTCTCGCTGTGTCTTTCTCTGTCAAATTAAAAAAAAAAAAAAAGATTTTCATTTCAGGAGATACAGAAAGTCTCCATTATTTAAATCATCATTATTCAAAGTCCTTTCAGTTATTTTATTGGGGTAGGGAAATAAAAGTTATCAAAAGGCAAAATTATTTACTCAAAGTCTAACCTCTTAAAACTTAGCACCCCTCTCCCCTGCAAGAAAAATCCCTCTCCACTGACCAGACATGCAAATACAATGTCAATCAATTGCAAATCTTTCAAATGGTGCAAGATCCATGGAATCAGTAAAGGGATGTCTGGCAACTTTTGGAATCAAATGCAAATCCATTGGCAGATGAAGATCTAACAAAATGAAATGAATTAACAAACTGAGAAAGAGACACTTAAAGGAGATAACAAGATAAGAACCTCAAAAGAAAATGATTTTTAAATCAAGAGTTCTAGAGCAGGCTTTGAGGAAATTGATGAAGTTCATAGATATTTTTACAGGGATGATGTTCTTCATAATCTGCAAAACTAAAATGTGAATTGCAGGATATAATATTACACTATCAAACAATTTTGTCAGAAAAAAATTATGCCAGAAAACAACCTGATTTATTCCTTATTGATTCTTAGGACTTGTGCCCTTGTGTATATATTGTTAAATATAACATTTTCACAATTTTAGTATATTTTCATTCTTGTTGTTCAGTTTAGTCTCCAGTTTGGATTAATTCACTGTGTGCCTTTCCTCCAGTACTATTTACTCTCTGGTAGTAAGGATCTTCTGTAAACAGTTTGAACTTGAACACTTGAACAGCCCGCCCCCACACACTGATAATCCTCAACTAAAATGGTGTGTTTTCAGTATCTACAAGATCATAGTGGGCTCTGACTATCTTTTTCCTTTCGTTTAGCTATTAATGGCTTTATGTATGGCAACCAGCCAGGCCTAAGCATGTGCAAAAAGGATAGAGTTTCCTGGCATATGATTGGAATGGGCACTGACACGGATATGCATGGAGTTTATTTTCAAGGGAACACCATCCACCTACGAGGGACTCACCGAGACACCCTAGCCCTGTTTCCCCATACCTCCACAACGGTGTTCATGCAGCCGGACCATGCAGGTAAACTTGGCAGGACCATCTCGGGTGACCAAATTCCTATCTTCAGGCATACATTCTAGAAGAAATTGGTTGGTTTGGGGCACTTCAAGGCAAACAGCCTTGGTTACAATCAGACAATCCTAACTACTTTATTCCAAACACACAGTACAAAGAATAGAGGAGAAGTGGGGCACCTGGGTGTCTCAGTCGTTGGGCGTCCGCCTTCGGCTCAGGTCATGATCCCAGGGTCCTGGGATCGAGCCCCGCATCAGGCTCCCTGCTCCGTGGGAAGCCTGCTTCTCCCTCTCCCACTCCCCCTGCTTGTGTTCCCTCTCTCACTGTCTCTCTCTGTCAAATAAAAATATAAAATCTTTACAAAAGAGAAGTATCTAGAATGACTCAAAGCAGAAATCAACATCCTCTAAACAACCTTGCCACACAAATCCCAGGAGAGCGCTCTTGATCCATTCCCAGGAATGATTTGGCCCCAGGAAAGAGGATATTTCTTGTTCTCTTTAAGCACCAGCATTTTAGTTGCTGCTCTGAAGCATGTACCAGGCATGGACAGCCCCGTGGATGCTTTCAGGTTATGGACATGACCTGGTTTCCATTCTCTAGAGACTGATAGTAGCCTTTTGATAAGTTGTTTGGAGACCTCCCCATTTTCATTCTGTTGGGCACCCTTGGTTTCCCTAGAGGGGAAGTTGCATTGGATCTGAAGTCCATGGAGGGCCCATTGAAGTGCCAGTACTCGTCCCTTCTCTTAGAGATTCCCACGCTAATTACATAATCAGGACATTTTTCCAAAAGATAAAGGGCAACACATGCTACCTGTCACATGAAAAATAAAGATAACAGATGCTATGGGCATTCAAAATATTTCTCCAACCGAACTTTTTCATTAGTCTTCAAAAAAAACCAATATGGGGACCTGGGTGACTCCGTTAAGCATCTGACTCTTGATTTCGGCTCAGGTCATGATCTCAGGGTCGTGAGATTGGGCCCTTTTCAGGCTCCCCACTCAGCAGGGAGTCTTCTTGAGATTTTCTCTCCCTTTCCCTCCCTTCCCCCCACTTTCTCTCTCTCTCTCAAATAGAATAATAAATAATAATAATAAATAATAATAAGTAAGTCTTTAAAAAAAAAAGAAACCAATATGCTACCCAAGATGAGTACTTGCTGACTGTGTGTCCTTTATGAATTGATGTCTACTTCTTTACTTCACATGAGAAGCGCAGTTTCAATGCCCCTTAGTGTCAGTGGTTAAAACATATGGCTTGTGCTTCAAAATATTTGTCCAAGAACTGCCTGAAACTAGGAGCTCCACAATCCCTGCCTTATAGACTTTGAGTATTTAACCTTTCTACATTAGTATAATTGATCAGTTATGAATCATCCAAGCCAAGGGATGCCTTGGGCACAATGATTTTTAAAAATATGCTCTTCAAGACCAAAGATGGGAGAGAAGGGTAATAGCCAGTTTTAATCTGTAGAAACCAGCATTCAGAACTACAGCTGGCTGGAATAATTTTAGGGACTTGGTTAATTATTCCAGTGCCTTGTGTATTACACATGTGCCCTATAAGGTTCTAGAGAGCTTGTGACAATGTTTTCCAGTTTACGTCTGGTGATGAGTATAAATCTGTGACTGCCTAATAGCTTGGTCATTTCACCAATTCCTGTCGCATATCTATAGGCCAAAAATAGTGCCCAAAATGTGAGTAGACCCTAGGCTTCAACTCAAATATTTTTTTCTTTGTTCTTGTTTTTTAGCCACTTTATTCAGATATGACTGATAAACAAAACCTATAGCTCTTTAATATATACAAATCAATGAGTGATGTTGAACATCTTTTCAGATGTCTGTTGGCCATCTATATGTTTTCTTTGGAGAAATGTCTGTTCATATCTTCTGCCCATTCTTTAATTGGATTATTTGTTTTTGGGGTATTGAGTTGTATCTTTTCTTTGTATATTTTAGATACTAACCCTTTATTGGATATGTCACTTGCAAATATCTTCTCCCATTCAGTAGGTTGCCTTTTAGTTTTATTATTTCCTTCACTGTGCAGAAACTTCTTATTTTGATGTAGTCCCAGTAGTTTATTTTTGTTTATTTCCCTTGCCTCAGGAGACATATCTAGAAAAATGTTGCTATGGCTGATGTCAGAGAGATTACTTACTGCTTGTGCTCCCTTCAAGGATTTTTATGGGTTCAGGTCTCACATTTAGGCCTTTAATGCATTTTGAGTTTATTTTTGTGTATGGTGTAAGAAAGTGGTCAAGTTTCATTCTGTTGCATGTTGCTGTCCAGTTTTCATAACACTATTTGTTGAAGAGACTTTTTCCCATTGCATATTCATTCCTCCTTTGTTGAGGATTGACTGACCATACAATTGTGGGTTTATTTCTGGGTTTTTACATTCTATTCCTTTGATCTATGTGTCTATTTTTATGCCAGTGCCATACTGTTTAAATTACTACTGCTTTGTAATATAACTTGAAATTGGGAATTGAGATACCACCAATTTTTTTCTTTTTCAAGATTGCTCTGGCTATTTGAGGTCTTTTGTGGTTTCATATAAATTTTAGATTTGTTTGTACCTGTTCTGTGAAAAATGCTGTTGGTATTTTGATAGAGATTGCTTTAAATCTATAGATTGCTTTGGATGGTATAGACATTTTAATGATATTTGTTCTTCCAACCCATGAGCATGGAATGTCTTTCCATTTCTTTGTGTCATTTTGAATTTCTTTTATCAGTGTTTTATAGTTTTCAGAGTAGAGGTCTTTCACCTCTTTGGTTAAGTTTATTCCTAGATAGTTTATTGTTTTTGGTGCATTTGTAAATGGGTTTTTTTTCTTAATTTCCCTTTTGGCTGCTTCATTATTAGTGTATAGGAATGCAACAAATTTCTGTATATTGATTTTGTACCTTGCAACGTTACTGAATTCATTTATCAGTTCAAATAGTTTTTTGGTGGAGTCTTAGGGTTTGCAAATCAAAATTACAATGAGATATGACCTCACACCTGTCAGAATGGCTAAAATAAAAAACATAAGCAACAATAAATATTGGCAAAAATATGGAGAAAAAGGAAACTTCATGCACTATTGGTGGGAATGCAAACTCTTACAGCCACTGTGGAAAACAGTGTGGTGCGTCCTCAGAAAATTAAAAACAGAATTACCCTAAGATCCAGGAATTACACTATTGGGAATTTACCCCCAAAATACAAAAACACTAATTCAAAGGGGTACATGTACCCCTGTGTTTATAGCAGCATTATTTATAATAGCCAAGATATGGAAGCAGCCCAAATGTGGATAAGGAAGATGTAGTAATATATATAATGGAATATTACTCAGCCATAAAAAGAATGAAATCTTGCCATTTGCAACAACATGAACAGAGCTATAGAGAGTATAATGCAAAGTGAAATAAGTTAGTCAGAGAAAGACAAATACCATATGATTTCACTCATATGTGGAATTAAAGAAACAAAACAAATGAGCAAAGGAAAAAAAAAAAAAGAGAGAGAGAGAGAGAGAGACAAACCAAGAAACAGACCCTTAACTATAGAGAACAAACTGATGGTTACCAGAGGGGATGAAAAAAATAAAATGATAGGAAAAAATGAACAGCTATTTATGCATTTAAAAAAGAACAAATTGATGAGTTGGGAGGTAAGTATATGTCTATGAAGTTATCACCACAATCAAGGCCTTAAACTCCTCTTCATTCTTTTTTTTTTTTAAAGATTTTTATTTATTTATTTGAGAGAGAGAATGAGAGAGAGAGAGAGAGCATGAGATGGGGGAGGGTCAGAGGGAGAAGCAGACTCCCCGCTGAGCAGGGAGCCCGATGCGGGACTCGATCCTGGGACTCCAGGATCATGACCTGAGCCAAAGGCAGTCGCTTAACCAACTGAGCCACCCAGGCGCCCCAAACTCCTCTTCATTCTTAGAGAAGATAATTCCTTGGCTAGCAAGGAACATGATGAACATGTGAATAATGGGCTGTGTGGCAAACAACACACACAGCGGGAGCTCTTTCCATGTCTGCCTTCAGAGTGTCTTCTGTGTGGTTTCATAAAGACCCTTCCTCGTGAGGGTCCTGCTCAGTGCGGAGGGAGCCGGACAACCCACTGAACCAGTGGGTTTTTCTCATTCTCAAGGGGTAATTTGCAATACTTCGATATGTATAGCATGATAAAAGCTATCACTGGGCATTGTAGATGGTTAATGAGACCAATCCCTGATCACTTGCCTCTAAGAACAGCCTCTATGAAAGGAAGGGAAGATTTATTGATCCAGTAATTCCACTGACAGTTAATATCTTTCAATAATTTTGTTTTATATGATTTTACGGTGAGTTCAATTAAGATATATCTACCTGATGCCAATCTAGAAAATTGCATCAGTTTATAAAATTACATAATTCTCAGACATGATTGTTGGCATTATGAAGGGAAATCTAGTTGATTTTCTTTTTCTTTTCACCTGGCATAATGTTGACCTATCACTGGTAATGAGAACCTCCTTTGCTCAAAGGATTAATGAATAATAATAATAATAATAATAATTTAATAATAATACCTTATGTGTATATTTCACTTTATATAGTTTATGAAATCCTCTAGGGCAAAATACATGATTTCAGAAATGTGCCCTAATTTCAATTTAGAATATTAATCTTACAGGTAATTAGTTCATTTTAAACTGGGCTGGGCTAAGATAATCATACCTATCAGTGATTTTCCAGGAGCAACTCTCTTCTAACAGGTGTGTAAAATAGGGAAGACCCAGAGAAATTATTTCTTGGTAGCAACTTTGCAAGTTTTCATTTTCGATTCCGAAGGAATTTCAGATGGTATTATTTTCCCCTGGTAAGTAAATATATTCACAGTAATTTATTCCCCTTAGAGTCTGGCTGGAAAATAGATATAAAATTGGTATTTTAAAAATCCACCTTACCAATTATTTCTTTGGGAACAAAATGCTGTAGATTGCTAGCAGATCCAAGCCAAAACCAAAACAGTCGAGTTTGGCACACAATGCCAAGCGTTTCTCTTCCAGGTATTTTCAGGCTGTTTTGTTCCACCATGCACCACTTCGCGAGAGGCATGAATCAGATATATGAGGTCAGCAGCTGTGGCAACAAGGACCCTTCTGAGCAGCCATACGGGATGATAAGAACCTTTTACATCGCCGCTGAAGAGGTAGAATGGGATTATGCCCCTAACAAAAACTGGGAGTTCGAAAAGCAGCACTTGGACGCAGGAAGGGAAAGGTACCGCGGGCGAAGCCGCCAAGTCTCTTGGGTGGGATTGCACATGCTCTGTAGATGTTTTTCAAGTGGGGAAACCTAACATTGCCCTGGTTTTGTCTGCATAATTCTGGCGGACAGAGACTTACTATGAGCACAAAAGATGAGGCAAGCTCCCCATCTACACCCTAGGAGGGGAGTCTGAAGTCATTTGGGGGCACGGCGGGCCGGCTCAGTGCATCCCCTGCTCGTGGTGGCCGGTTCCAAGTGTGGCTGTCCCAAGAATGCATGTGCCTTTGAGCGAGCGCCTAGTGTGAAAGGGTTAGGGAAAGAGGCAGAGCCCAGTGACAGGGGGACTGTGAAGACAAAATGGTATAGAAGGAGGCAGAGATGGGGTGTGCAGCGAGATGAGCAGATGGGTAGGTTGAGGACCGCAGGAAAAGAGCATTCATTGGATGCGGAATGGCCTAGGAGCGGGTAGGAGGCATTGCTTTGGTAGAGATCCCCGAATTGAGATGGGCAGACTGGTCTCTCTAGTAGGCCCTGTACCCAGAAAGTTCCCAAGATGGACCCTCCCGTGAGAGTACTGTCAGCCAATGCTAAGCACCAAAGGGTCAGCAGGGCTGGAGCCTGGGAACGCTGGTCCCCCACGCACACTTCCCCTCCCGCCCCTGTGCACTGGGGTAGAGTGAAACAAGGTATAGAGGCATCTGCCTGGAGCTGACCTGTAGACCTCCTCCCCTAAGTTCATACCCTCCACTCAACAACACCTGCTGCTTGGGTAGTTCCTGTCCCCATATACCGACCAGGAGACTCAGTGCAGAGAGTTAAGGCTAACCACTAGTCATGGACACTAGAATTGAACAAAGACCTTTTCAAGGACAAATCTGTGTTCTCATCACCAAGCCATGTTAATTTGCGTATCTTTGTTCCTCTTTGTTCTGTATTATCAGCTCCCTACGACCCCCCCGCTCCCCAATTCTCTCTGGCCACACCACACACAAATCCTCTATACCCAACTCTTCCTGATCTTAACATGTCTTTTTTGTTGTTGTTCTTACTTGATGGCCTGTTTTGAGGGTTTAAACTCCTGGAAAAGAGAGTAGAACAGCATCACCTTATGGATAAATGAAGAAACAAAATAACTCGTCCCCTTTAAAAAGATTTGCCTCAGGGACAGGATGACTTAAAATTTGTTCCATGACTCACCAACCCATTTGTTAAACCAGACATTCCTCTCCTGCAAAACCAGTGCTGCCGATACCAGCTCAAGACTGATGCTGGGGCAATAGAAAATGAAAAGAAGACTGACCCAGCCTTTTCTAAAATGATGATTTTTACTTAAAGAAATAATCGCATAACAATTTTGTTGTATGTATATTCCTAGCCCGTGAGAGTATAAGAAACATAGCCATCATGATTTTCTTGAAACTCGGTGTAATTTCGGTTTTCCGACCACCAGCTCTCTGGGCCAGCAGGAGGCTCCAGCCTCAGTCTTCTGGGATTGTCTCCCAGGGGACAGAGAGAGAGAAAGAGAGAGAGGGTGCTGGCTGTGTTTGCACTCTGCCCTGCTGCTCGGGATATTGCCCATAAATAAACGAAAATAAAGTAAAACAAGAGCCTGTTCACATATTCGAAGTATAACGGATCTGTAGAAAGAAACTCAGTACAGATGGAGATGACCGGGCCCCCTAGAGGCATGTCTGTGGCACCTCTGCAGCTGGGAGTCCAGGGACAAACGCCCCATCTGCACCCCCACTGTTATGCCTCTGCCTTTTGAGCCAAAGCCTTGGCAGGGAGCACACCTAGTTTTCAAACCACCTGTCAGTGTGGGTTATCCCTGAGACATTTATCATCCCGGTTCGCACAGACCCTCTGCCTCACCTTGGGACCCAGGTATCTTTCCCTGAAGGCTTTCTCAGAACACACTGAGAAGGCCTCGGGATCCCAGAAAAGCAACCAGTGGGACTCATCAGCGCAATGCCAGGGTTTGTGCAGTGGGAGAGAATTCAAACACCGAGATGAAGTTGCTCTAGGGAAATAAAGCTGTATTCCTAGTACTCCTGAGCTTGTGGACTGATAGGCATTTAATTTCACCAGTGTGGGATTTGAGATAATAACTGCCATGTATTGAGCACCCACCCTGCGCCAGGCATTTTGCTAGGGTTTTTATAAACCCTATCTCATAGTGACCCTCACAATGTCCTTGACCCATTTGGTCAGCCTTGGCCCAGAATCTCACCTGACATCCCAGCAAGATGGCAGATGAGCAAGCGCTTACATGGTGTTCAGTATGTGTCTGGGGCAGCCCTTTATAGATCTTAACCCACAGAGTCCTCACACCCATCCTGGGAGGCAGATGAATTGTCATTACCCTACTTTGCAAAATAGGAAAGCTGGCAAACAGTAAAGCGTGGCTCCAGAGGTGTCTGGGTCACTACCACACATGTTACTAGGAGTCTTGGAAAAGGAAAGTCAAAGAAAAATTCTCTTCCCTTGGCAAGCATTGTGGTTTAGGTTGAAGATATACATGCGTTTGTTAAGTACCTACTGTGTGGTAGGCATTGTACCAGGTGCTGACAAACGGTGCTAACAAGGGCAGGCGAGGTCCTTTCCCACACAGAATTCATGGTTCACGGGGAAGACATTTGACCAAGCATATTGAGCAAGGTCATCACTATGGGAGGGGAAGTGCAGGGCACAGGGGGAGCTCACAGCAGGTGCACATGGCCCCATCTGGGGGAGAGCCGGGGAGAGAGTAGGCGGTCAGGGAAAGCTGCTTGAGAGGAAGTAGTCTTTGTCCTGGGACTTGAGGAATAGGCCAGTTGAAGAGGTGGTTAAGGGTGTTTTTGGCCCAGGGGATAACACATGGAAGGCCTGGAGGTGGGGAGGGCACATGGAGTTCAAGAGAGAATATTTAGGGGCGCCTGGGTGGCTCAGTTGGTTAAGCGACTGCCTTCGGCTCAGGTCATGATCCTGGAGTCCCAGGATCGAGTCCCGCATCGGGCTCCCTGCTTGGCGGGGAGTCTGCTTCTCCCTCTGACCCTCCTCCCTCTCATGCTCTCTGTATCTCATTCTCTCTGTCTCAAATAAATAAATAAAATCTTTAAAAAAAAAGAGAGAGAGACAATATTTAGAATGACCAAAGCGTAGAGAGTGTGGGTGCCAGTATTGGGCAAGGAGACTTGGGAGGTTGGCAGAGGCAGATAGTGAAGGGGGTGTGAGGAATTTGGGGAATTGGGCAGTGGGAAGCCATCAAGAGTTTTCCACCAGGACTCACTTGGTTGAATGTACAGGTTAGGATCACTCTGCCTGTAGCGTACAGGGTAGAGGGAAGGGAGGAGCATGGGAGGCAGGTAGAATGACCAGGAACAACTCAATTCATGTAGGTAAGTGATGTAGGTGGCTGAGGTTGGAGTGCAGGTAGTTTAATGGAGGGAAATGGAAGGCTGTGAGACATACTATATTTTGTAGGTAAACCGATAAGATTTTTTTCCCCATCGTTCGTGATCATCTATCTTGATGATGGATTAAATATATAGTTGATCCTCATTATTTGCAGATTCCATGTTTGTGAATTTGCCTACTTGCTGAAATTTATCTGTAACACCAAAATCAATTTTTGTGGCGCTTCTGTGGTCATTTACAGTGATGCATAAAGCAGCAAAGAATTTGTGTCACCCAATACGCACATTCCCAGCTAGGTCAGACAAACGATTCATCCCTCTGTCTTCTTGTTTCAGCTTTCACACTGTAAACAGACATCCTCTTTGTGGTCTATTTAGTGCTACTTTTGTATGTGTGTGTGTGTTTTGTTGGTGACTTAGCTGTTTAAAAATAAAAATAAATAAATAAATAAATAAATAAATAAATAATAAAATATTTATTTGGCTGCCTAGTGTTCTCAAGTGCAAGAAGACCGTGATGTGCCTTACAGAGGAAGTGTGTGTGTTAGATAAGCTTCATTCAGGCATGAGTTACAGTGCTATTGGCCAGAATTCAAAGTAAATGAATCAACAATTCATTTATTCAATATACATATTGAATAAGATGTCTTTAAGCAGAAACACACATAAAACAAGGATATTTATTAATCTGTCAATGAAAATACTGTGACCAGAGGTTTGAAGAAACTGGGGTTTTTTTTTGGAGGGTTGGGGAGGTGGATTTTCCTCTACCCTTCAAATTCTTCTGGCTGGTCTAAGAATTAAATTGACACGAGAGAATCAAATATACTTACACAGGGAGAATCCACATAAACATGAGAGATTCCAAAGACAGTCAGGCAAAATGAGATATATATGTCATCCTGAACTAAGGAGAAGGGTGAAGGAGTCTGGGACTTCAAAGAAAAGGAGAGCAATTCATAAGAAGATGAAAAAGAGTAAATGTTAGGTAAACAAATGTTGGCTGGGCCACTCCGAAACAATGGGACAGAGAGAAGAATTTTAACAAACAGACGTTGCTAAATTCCTCCCTGTCTCCCACCCCTAGTTCATATTATAATGTAGTTACCTATGGTAATAGCCTCTTCTTGGGATGGGTCCTCTACCTAAATACTTTTAGGCAGTTAGAGGGAAGGTCAAAATTTTTTCCTGGATCTTTTAGGTCTTGATTGTTTTCAGCTCAAAATAATCCACATGCCAAAATGGCACATCTTGGGGCAATTCACTGTGAACACCTACAAAACCTAAACTTGTATTTCCCCTAGGAACAATGGTTCAATATTCATTATTTCAGTGTTTGAGGTGACTTTCTAGAACATGACTCCTGTGAATAACAAGAATCAACTATGTCTATATTTGTATATGAGTATATGCACAATATACAACCCAGAGTCTTTCTTGAGATCTTTAAAGTGGAAAAGTAGAACAAGGTACAGAAAGATACACGTGAAATCTGAAGGAATTCAGGGTGGTAGAGAGTGAGTGTGTGCATGTGTGCATGCATGTGCACGTGTGTGAGGTTAGTTAGTCCCAAGAAGAAACGTGCTATCCCATGGGACTTTCTAACTAAGGTTGGTCCCATTCAGCACCCAGCAGGGCTTTGCAATGATGGTCCTCAAGAAGGAAGACCTGGGCCAGACTGCCTGCCCCCATCAGAACCCCCTGAGGTGCTTTCAAGTGCAGATTCCTGGCCCCACTTCCAGAGAGCCTGGTGCAAAAGTCCAGCTCCACAGGGGGATCCTGAGGACAGCCAGGTTTGGGAAACACTGCTCCAGAGTACCCCTGAATCACTCAGAAGCACTCAAGGGTTTTCTACCTCCTGACAACTTTAATTTCTGATGCTTCTGCTTTACAGATACGGAGATATATTTATGAACCACACTGAGAACTGGATTGGCTCTCAGTACAGGAAGGTGATTTACAGAGAATACACCAATGGTGAATTTGTGGAGATCAAGGCCCGACCGCCACGAGAAAAGCATCTGGAACTCCTGGGTATGGTACAGATCACAGCCATGCACTGCCAGCCCCAAGGGTGGCCTGAGAAGGGACAGCAGGGACAAAGTAGCCTGACAGCATCCATCCAAGTATGACATCTTCCTGTCCTCCCATTGTCAGGGAGCATGCTCTTTCAAAGAATGGTCAACCAGATAACCAGCAATCCATATCATCAGGGTTGTCTAACCAACATCTGTTGCCCTCAAGTTCCTTTCCCATCCCTCTGCTGAGCCTGGACATATTAACTTGGAATGATCTGATGCCTCAGAAGAGAAGGCAGAGTATTTGCATAACTCCTTCAAGGTCCTGGATTCTCCATGCACAGAGCCATAAGAACACACCATAAAAATAATTCAAGCCAAAGAGAAACCCCTTCCATGAGAGAAGTGCTAAGGATGGAAGGGCTGGTTTGAGTTCAGGAGGCCCTGAACTTGGCCTTCTCAGGACCTGCTGGGCCTGTCTGATGTCCTGGGCTGCCTGACGTGGTGATCAGATAAGCTCTTTTGGCTTTCCTTCCCCACTTCCACCTGGGAGTCACCAAACTTGACCCCATCATGAGGATGAGATCTTGAGGCAGAGGGCTAATCTAGATGACTTTCTGAAATCCATTCCCCCCCCCTTTTTTTCCCTGTTCTCATTTTTAAATGCACAAGTCATATAAATAGTATGACTTTACACGGTGTTTCTTAATATTAAAAAAGGCACCAGGACAGCTAGCTTGATAAATTATTAAATGCCCCACCCATCTTCCCCTTACCCTCACTGTCTATTAACACTGGCATGCAAGCTTGGTTTGTGACACTAAAAGAGTCAGCCCCAGTAGGAACATTCCTTCTTTTGAGCTGTGTCTGTCGAATGAGCTCCAGGAAAAAAGCTCACTGGTCCTACCAACAAGAGTGGGTTGCCCCTCAAAAAGCAACTGAGGGTCTGCTCAGTAAAATGACACAAAGCCATGACTCCGTCAGAGGCAAGCCCAGTGGTGCTTCTCCCAGGAGACTATGAGGCCCATCCACTCGTTTTCTGCAGCTCAGGGACAGGCCTGTGCCCCTGAAGTTCCAAAGGGCACAGGACAGGCAACCCTCTGTTCTTTACTGCTGCCGGTGACCTATCAGGCCCCAAATCAGAAGACATTCACTCCTACCAGCACACCAAGCCATGTGGAATTAAAGTAGTAATGAATGACAAATAATCATTTTAATATATGTATACTCATGCACCTATCTGGAACTATATCCAACTTTGCTATTTAAAAGACATGCATTCTTTTCTAGCTTTATCATTAAAAACAAAATAGCATTTTTTCTCAGACACTTCCTGATTCATACTAAATATTTTCTTCCAAAGATAAAAACAGTCCATCAAATTTCAGATTTATTTAGGACTTTAGTGGTCTTCTCAGAAAAGCAACTAAAACTATGGTTTGAATCCGTGAAGAGAGGATGGGTGCCTTCAGAGCCCCTACCATGAGCGTATCTCTCTATGAATGTAGTGGAATGCCGTGAACCCCCAAGGTATCCAAGTACTGAGAAATGGCATTGGACATGCATTAGTAAAATCCCTGTATTGATCATAAATTAGTACATAGATGTTTTAATTTTGTTCTTATCTTTCAAATCCCTTTTATACACAATATTTCATTGGATCCTCATTGTGGTTATTATTATTGATATATCCATTTACCAGATAATGAACAATTTCAGACTTGCCAAAGTTACTTACAGAAGTTACATACAGAACTAGAAGTCACCATATCATGTGGATATGGCTTTTCCTGGAGACTGTCTCAGCAGTAGTAAAAATTTAAGCATTTATTGAGTACTTACTGTGTTTCAGTGCACTGAAATAAGCACTTTACATACATTATCTTATTTAATTCTTACTATATCCCTATGAGAAAGGTGATATTAAACCCATTTCATAGGGGAGGAAATTGAGTCAGGCAGGTTACTTGACTTACCCAAGGTCTCTCTAGTAAGTGAAGGAAGCAGGATTTGAACCCAGGTTGGTCTGATTGCCAAACACTACATGAGTATTTAACATTACATATATTGCCTTCTAAAGGAAGTATGCTAATGGGGAAACTAACCTTTGTTTTATTTTGCTAAAAACTACCTACATATAATACATCAGTGTTGAAAAGAGCAAAGATAATGCACACAGGCTTGTGTTTTGCCTTTAGGCCCAATGGTTCATGCTGAGGTGGGTGACTCCATACTGATCATATTTAAGAACAAAGCCAAGCGGCCCTACTCCATCTCAGCCCATGGTATTGAAGACATGGAGAGTGGGAAGCAACTCCAAGCATCTGTCACAAAGCCAGGTAAGTTACATGGGAGATCTCCTCCATGCTGATAAGGACCCCGGACTCAACTCTCTTCTGATCTTTTCTGATCTTTGAAGGCTCTTGGAAAGTTCATCTTAATGTCAATATGTTCCAGCCATCATCTAGTCACTCCTAATATGAGATCATCATTCATCCAATGACCAAGTGGTTATGGTGTTTCTAGGGCTCCATTAGGGACCTAAAAGTGCAGCAAGACATAATAATAGCTAATACATACTGAATGTTCATCTTTTGCCATGTGCTATGGTTTATATTTAAAAAAAAAATTCATTTTCCTTACAATAGCCCAACAAGGTAGACACTAACATATGTCATTGACTCTGATACCATTGATTAGAATATCCATCTTTATTTTTATCTGTTACTAAAAAAGGAAAGAACACATGGCCAATTAAACCTTAGCATGCCACTGATTGAAAGATGCATCTTGATTTCAGTTATGTTAAAATGTGAAAAATGCACATCCTATAATTGAGGAAATATGGTATCATTATGTCCATTTAATAGATGACTAAAGAACAGAGGGGTAAAGAACTTGACCAGGTCATACATGAGTAACAGTGGAACCTCAGTTTGCTGGAGTTAGAACATATGCTCTTAGCCATACATTTCTCTCGAGTTGCTTAAAATGAATTTGGAGGAAAAAAAAGACAAACAAGATGAATCATTTCTGTAGTAATGTGGATTAATCATAATGGAATTCTAACTGGCAAAGAGTTTCAAGAATATATCTGGGAGTGTTTATAAAAGTTTCAGAGAAGGAAAATCCATAAAGATTGATTGATTGATTCAGAGCAAATAAAGAAAGGAGTAATTAGGGAAAGCTTTCTAAAAGAGGTGGAACTCCAGTTGGGTTTTAAAATATGCATTGAAGGGAAAGAAGATCTCATAATTTAAAGAGCTTCCTATAACATTTACACGGTTGAAATGTGGTTGTAGTAAATGTCAAGATCCTCTGTGACCTTCGGTTATGAAATTAAGAGCAATCATAGGTATAATTACAGGGGAATTATATTCCATTTTACTTCTTATGTGTATATATATATGTATAATACTAAATACTATAGTAATTGTAATAAAGGTCATATAAACTTTAAAAAATTTAAAGATGCATAGAAGGAAGAAAAGAAAATAATCTAATGCATCACTGGAAAAAGTTAGCAAGGTATTCCTACAAGGATGGGGTTGAGGAAAAAAATTGTCACTGACCATGATCCCAACCTCTCTTGCCACTCCGTTCCCCACCCCACCCCTAATTCAGAAACCTGTGTTTTGCTGCTTCAAGAAATTTCTCATGAACATTCTAAATGTCCATCTAGAGGGAGATACTTAAACACATTTTGGAATATCCCTACAATGAACTATTACACAGCCATTAAAGGATGTTTAAGAAGATTTTAATGACATGGGGAAAACTTGTGGTATCATGTTAAGAAAAATACAAGTATGGAACAAAGGTTAAAAAGGAAGTAGGCCAAAATGTTAAAAATGGTTGTATCTTCAGGGTAGTATTTTAAGTAATAGTTAAGGTGATGTTCCTTTCTACTTCTTCACATTGTTTGTACTTTCTACATTTTCTGTCTTGGATGTCTCGCTTTTATTAAGAGGGAAATAAATGGTTTTAATTGGGTCAAAAAAGCAATTAAAGTTATTCAGTTTTGGTGGTGAAAAGTAACTCAGGAGGGAGGAAGAAAGGTGCCAATCAGGCATGGGGAAGGGTTCTGACAGGGCTATGGGCCAGCTGGGGTGAGCCCTCACAGGCTGCTGTGCCCTGATGGTGAGGACTGGCAAGGGACATAGTTCTTCTGTGCTGACTGGCCTTCTAAGGGTCCTTGATGGGGTTATGGGGGTAGAGAGAAGAGTGATTAGAATGTGGCAAAGAGGGCGCCTGGGTGGCTCAGTCGGTTAAGCGTCTGCCTTCTGCTCAGGTCATGATCCCGGGGTCCTGGGATCGAGCCCCGCATCGGGCTCCCTGCTCCGCAGGAAGCCTGCTTCTCCCTCTCCCACTCCCCCTGCTTGTGTTCCCTCTCTCGCTGTGTCTCTGTGTCAAATAAATAAACAAAATCTTAAAAAAAAAAAAAAAGAATGTGGCAAAGAGCCTTTTTCTCACTGCAACTTGGAGGGGGAGAATCCCCACAAGGGTCTCTGTCTGACAAGGTTGAAAGTCTTGGGAGAGCCCAGAGATTGGGGGTAGGAGCAAGAAACTAATTTTGTGCACAAAATCCAGACAAGTTGGAGAAGAATGGTTAATTTGGGCATGCATGAGATAAGCAAAGAAGTCCCTCTCAAATTTCTTCTTCTCCTTTTCCTTCTTCTTCTTTTTCATGCCACCAACTCAACATGCATGCACTGAGCATCTTCTTTTGTTTAGAGCTGTGCTCCCTACCAGGGTGAATAATGGATCATTCCAACTTTAATAATACCACCCCTTAGCCACTTGCATTGAAGAAGCTAAATATCAGCAGTTTATCTTGCAATTAACAGGGCAAAGGGGCTATAATGAAAGGTAATGGAAACTAGACCTAAGGTTATATTGCTAACCTACTGGTGTATGAGCAAATATGGAGCAGTTACATGCAAGCATTATTTTTGTTTTGCCTTGTGGCTTGCATTCAGCTATAGGCTGTATGTTCTGATAAGGTAGGGATGGGACATAGACAATTCAAAAGGAGAGAGTAATTTAAATGTGGCTTTTATTTGAGACTTTTACAATGTGATTATCTTGCCAATTTATGTGAGTTTATTTGTGACTCCTCCGCAAGGCTCTGGGTCAGCCTCAGGGGATGCATAGATGTGGTGCCTGGCATTCATTTGTTATTAGTATACATACAGATGAACATTTATTGACTGCCTTCAGTGTGAGGCACTAACCTAGGTATTTTATTTTATTTAATCTTCACAGCAATCTGAAAAGTGGGATGACTAACCCACTTTACAAGTAAGGAGACTAAAGGTCAGTGAAGTTAAGTAGTTTGTCAAAAGTTAGATAAATAGGAAATGATAGGGTTGAGATCTGAAACTAAGTCTCTCTGATTCTCTCTGGTTCTAACTAGATGTCACTGGTCTGCATATTAGAATCACCTGAGAAACTTAAAAAAAAAATACTGATGCCCTAGTCCTAGACTCTAGATACTTTAATTTCATTGGTTTGAGATGAGACCTCAGCAGTAAGAGTTTACAAAGCTCCTTGGCGATTCAATCAGAAATCAAGGCTGAGTCCCACAGTAACTCAAGTGTGCTCAAGCCTAACTCTTGGGAGGGAGATATGAAATTTGAGGAGAAAAAACAGTGAGGAATACAATATGTCTTCGTGTCTTGAGTAAACATCAGTTGATAATAGAAAGGTCAAATTAGAAAGAAAACCATAGTCTGGAATGAAAAATATGCCATTTTGCAAATTCAGAAAGTCAAGATGTAAGTTTAATTGGAACATTTCTAATGGATGAGTAATTCTCCCCAGCAATAAACATTAACTGAAATATATCAAGACCTGTTTGTTATTTCTTCAGGTAAAACATCTGAACCAAAGGTAGCACTAGTAAATTCTTTCTATTTCTTCTCATTTGTTTCAGGAGAAATAAACACCTACAGGTGGAATGTCCCTAAAAGGTCTGGTCCAGGACCAAATGATCCAAATTGTATTCCGTGGGTTTACTATTCAACAGTAAACTTTGTGAAGGTAAGACTGAGAGAACAACCAAAATGCTGAATGTGGCTTTAAATCGATTATTCAAGTTATCACAACTCTGGTGAGTATATGTGAAGGGTGGAATGGTTGAGAGCAAGGATTTCAAACTATGGCCGTGCATATTTGTTAACATTGTCTCTGCTTGAGTTGAGTGGTATTAAGAAAACAAACTTCAACTGAGTAAATTTTAAAGATTTCATTGGCTTTATTCAACAATTCATGACTTGGGCAGCTTCCCATCTAGCAGATAGAAAGGATCTCTTAAGAACTGTACAAAATGAAAGACTTGTATAGGCAGAAGGGGGCAAAACAAGGAAGTTACTAGCAAAGAGTGGATTGTGTATGGCAAGGTCACCTTCCTTTAAGGGACAGCAGGGGCCTGTCAGTCGATTACCTTACTAGTGCTAGTGATTGACTAGATTAAGATTCTGTTCCTGGGAGAGATTGAAACTGTAATTAACCTAGGAAGTAAGTCTTGGTTTGGTGATGTGGGCTTAGCACAAGTGACTCCATTTTGGACATGTTGTCTTTTTTTTTTTTTAACAATTCCCCACTTTTGATCAAATTCTCATCTTGACTGAGAGATGTGATCAAAATTTAAGGCATTAACACCTCTCCCAGCTACTGCTCTGAAGCTCTCACGACTTTTGTTGATCCCCTGTGTGGTATTCATAGGTCATGATGCTTATTGTTGAATCTCTGTGGTATTCATAGGTCACAACTTCAGGTTCACATTTCTTAAGTTGGTCATTCTCTTCATTCTTTTTCCAATGTTCCATTCTTAGCAAGATCATTTGCTCATTTAGCAGCTATCAACATGCACTGCAAGCTTTTGAAGGAATACAGTGAACCAGGGAGACTTTCTGATGTGCACTTTGGAGCCATGATCCCCAAGGCAAAACAATCAAAATCAAATAAGTCAAAGAAAGACCAGGTTGAAGGAGTCACTTTCTAAAGCCAAGTGGCTTATTCAGTGGTTTTGTGTATCTGAGTTTCAACTTCCCCAGAAATGTTATCAGAGTGCAAGTGGTGTTGGCCCCAGCACCAACACCTCCTTGTTCAGCTAAAAGATAATAAAAGGCTATCCTATGATCCAGAACAACTTTGGCCTTGCAAAGATGGGTACTGCTAGTGAGATCTTTTTGTGATTGGGGCAGATCTGATTCAGACAATCATAAGAATGTAGGGGTGCAAATGTGCTGTGATTTGCATAAGCATTTGTGTTTAACTGAACAAAGTATGGTTATAATTGGAGAAAGGTAAAAATAAGACATGGATATTCTGATGTTAAAAGTTGGACTTTGTGAGACTATGGACTCTGGGAAACAATCTGAGGGTTTTAGAGGGGAGGGGGCCAAGGGGATTGGTTAGCCCAGTGATGGGTATTAAGGAGGGCACGTACTGCATGGAGCACTGGGTGTTATACAAAAACAATGAATCGTAGTGTATGGTGTATTGTATGGTGATTAACATAACATAAAAAAAAAAGTTGGACTTTGTAAGTGACTCCTAAGTCGTGATGTGGGGGGGTCAATTAAGAATAGAAGAAACATTGATGAGAGGGAGGACCACAGGGTCTTTAGCATCACAGACAGGAGTTTTTGATGTCAATCCAGCAGTCTGAAAGGTTACCCCCCCTTAGCAAGGGCCTGGAAGACATGGATGATGGTGTTATCTTTCCAGACCACTGCCAGAGTAAAGGAAAGAAAGAGAAGAAGGAAGGGTTTGATGTTTAGTTAAAGTATGAAGCTTTGATGTGGTATCTTAGGTGGAAGCAGTCTAGCTCAATGTAGGCTATTTCTTTTCCTAGTCAGTTTGATTTGGAAATCTCCAAAGTTTGTACAGGACCAGATGACAGGTAGAGCCTTCTTCAGCTCTGAGATGTACTCAAAATTTAGTTTTACAAAAGTGTCAGTGGTCAGAGCACCTGATAAGGCCCTTCCCATGAGTCTCATTCTTATAAAAATATCAGAGTAAAATAATAACTCTCTGTGAATAATAAAAAACTTTAACATTGCCCATGGTTAAAGATCTAATGAGAGTTCATTATCATGGAATTCACAAGGAAATTTGGTTATTTCTGTAACATACAACATTTAAAAATAATAACGAATTATGACTGATAATGTGATATTAGGATATATCAAATTTCTAGGAATTTTATACAATTTCTAGAACATTTATGATATACATCTATACAAATATAATATAAAGAAGGCTTAATATTACTTCTTATTTCACGTTTCCTGTGTAATTTAACATATCAAATACACTTAATTAGTTTAACATCTCTCTTTTAATAAGGAGAGAGAACAAATCTTTTTCTTTTTTTAAAGATTTATATATTTATTTCAGAGAGAGAGTGTGCAGGGGGAGGGGCAGAGGGAGAATCCCAAGCAGACTCCTTACTGAGTGTGGAGCCCGATGCAGGGCTGTCTCATGACGTTGAGATCACAGCCCAAGCCGAAACCAAGAGTTGGTCACTCAACTAACTGAGCCACCCAGGTGCCCCGAGAACAAATCTTTTGAAATGTTCCAGGGACCCTCTTAAAATATCCCAAAGTTGGTTCAAGGCCAAAAAGATTCATTTAGAAATTGATTTTGGGGAACTTTCTCAAAAATATCAAAAAGTTTAAAAACACTTGGCCAAATAGGATCATAGGTCACTGTGAAATAATTAGTTATCCATTTAACCATAGTGACAAGACTTCACAAGGCAAATACAGAATGCTAAATAGTTCTAAAAAATCTTAGCTCTTTTAGTAGAGAAGACTCAGTTCTCTTAAGTAATCAAAGACTTGATAAAGACAACATGAAATACAGAAAATTATTTTGGTAAGACAGACTCTGTTTTCTAAAGCAGATTACTTAAAAGGTAAAACACACACACACACAACTGTTACTGTCTTTTATCAAGAGCAAACCAATAATCCAAGAAAACTTGTCTTTTTAACAGAGAGTAAACAAAATATTAACTTCATACCAGTATACTTTTTAAAAAAGTATAATTAACATACTATTAGTTATAGGGGTACAACATATTGACTCCACAATTCTATATATCACTCAGTGCTCCCCACAATAAGTGTTAGTCACTATGTGTCACCCTACAACATTATTACAATATTATTGACAATATTTCCTATGCTGTATTTTTCATCTCCTAGATTTATTTATTGTATAACTGGAAGTTTGTACCTCATAATCTCCTTTATCTATTGTACCCATCCCCCGACCCGCTGCCTCTCTGGCAACTACCAGTTTGTTCTCTGTATTTAAGGGTCTTGGTTTTGTTTGTTTATTTATTCTTTGTTTCTTTCTCTGTTCATTTGTTTTGTTTTTTAGTTTTTTTTTTTTTTTTTTACTTTTCAGAAGTGAAAGCATATGGTATTTTAATTTCTCTGTCTGACATATTTGTCTTAGCGTACTACCCTCTAGGTCCATCCATGTTACCACAAATGCAAGGTCTCACAAATTTTTTTATAGGCTTAGATAGACAGATAGATAGATAGATATCATTTCTTTTTTTTTTTTTTAATTTTTTTTTAAGATTTTATTTATTTGTGAGAGAGAGAATGAGAGACAGAGAGCATGAGAGGGAGGAGGGTTAGAGGGAGAAGCAGACCCCCCGCTGAGCAGGGAGCCCGATGCGGGACTCGATCCCGGGACTCCAGGATCACGACCTGAGCCGAAGGCAGTTGCTTAACCAACTGAGCCACCCAGGCGCCCCTAGATATCATTTCTTTATCCATTCATCTATAAATGGACACTTGGGTTGCTTTCATATTTTGACTATCATGAATATGATGCAATAAACACAGGGGTGCATATATCTTTTTGATACCTAGTAGTGGAATTACTGGATCATATGGCATTTCTATTTTTAATTTTGAGGAACCTCCTTACTGTTTTCCACAGTGGCTGCACCAATTTACATTCCCACCAACAGTGCAAGAGGGTTCCTCTTTCTCCACATCCTCACCAACATTTGTTATTTCCTATCTTTTTGATTCTAGCCCTTCTGACAGTTGTAAGGAGATATCTCATTGTGGTTTTGATTTGTTTGATTTGACTAGTGATTTTGAGCATCTTTTCGTGTGTCTGTAGTCCATCTGTATATCTTCTTTGGAAAAATGTCTACTCAAATCCTCTGTGCATTTTTAAATTTGATTACTTGCTTTACGGTGTTGAGTTGTGTAAGTTCCACATATAGTTTTAATATTAACCCCTTATTAAAAAATCATTTGCAAATATATTCTCCCATTCAATAGGTTGCCTTTTCATTTTGTTACTGGTTTCATTCGTTGTGCAAAAGCTTTTTATTTTGGTGTAATTCCAATTGTTTATTTTTGCTTTTGTTCCCCTTGCCTGAGGAGATATACCTAGAAAAATATAGCTATGGCTGATGTCAGAGATATTACTGCCTATGCTCTCTTCAAGGATTTTTATGCATTCAGGTCTCACATTTACGTCTTTAATCCATTTCAGTTAATTGTTGTGTATGGTGTAAGAATGTGCCCCAGTCTCATTCTTTTGCATGTAGCTGTTCAGTTTCCCCAGCACCATTTATTGAAGAGACTATCTTCCCCATTGTATATTCTTGCCTCCTTTGTCATAGATTAATTGACCATATAATCATAGGTTTATTTCTAGTCTCTATTCTGTTCTATTGATCTGTGTGTCTATTTCTGTGCCAGTATCATACTATTTTGATTACTACAACTTTGTAGTATATCATGATATCTCGGATTGTGATATCTACAGTTTTGTTCTTTCTCAACATTGCTTTGATAATTTGTAGTCTTTTGTGGTTACATACAGATTTTAGTGTTATTTGTACTAGTTCTGTAAAAAAAATGCTGTTGGTATTTTGATAGAGATTGCATTGAATCTGTAGGTTGCTTTGGGTAGTATAGACATTTTAACAATATTTGTTCTTCTAATCCATGAGCATGGAATATCGTTCCACTTGTTTGTGTTGTCCTTGGTTT